GACTGTGTTTGTGGAAGTTTGGTTGAGTCCGATGTACTGGGTGTATGTTAGGGGATAGTGTGTGGTGAGTGTGTGTGAATGTGTAGGGTGTTATGGTGTTGTGGTGTGACGAGCTCCCAAAAGCCGCTGCCCCCAGGGAGGATCGAACTCCCGACCCCTGGTTTACAAGACCAGTGCTCTAACCACTGAGCTATGGAGGCCGACAAATCTCTCACACAACACTCCGTCCACCATTCACTCACTCCTACAATCCTCCTACATCTCGTCCACTCACTGAAACACGCATCAATTTCACCACTGTCTCAAACACTCTACAAACACACAAGTGTCTTCAGTCAGTAAGACAGTCAATCGATCACACCATCATCGTAGTTTGCAATCAATAATCTATTCGACCAGTCAATCAATCAACCAACCAATGTAGCTTTCAAACACACTACACGACGGTTGGCCAGTCAGCCAGTCAATTCATCCATTCATCTGTCTAGTGTACGGGTGATCAATCATGTGATGTTCAAGTGCACACACTTACACACACCAGTCTATCAGTCGATCGTTCGATCAGGAGGTGAAAGCCGACTGTCAACTAACCAAACAGTCATGAAACCGGAGATTGGGAGAGGTGAGTCCACATCAGTGCTATCCACGTCTCTTCATCTGCCTCATCTGCAATTGTCACCATCACCATCACCATCGTCACTGTCACATCACTCATCACACGTCATCACGTACTGTGTCACTGAATCGTCACGGTGTGCTCGTCGTTCGACTAGTCGGTCGACGAACACCTGACTGTTTGTCCTAGTTCACTGGTTGTCTTGTTAGGCAATGTTGAGGAGGAGGTGTGTACAGTTGATCAGTATATCAACTAATATAGGATTTGAATAATGAGCAAGTTGATAAGCGTGAGATAGTATGTTGTGTTTGGTTTGATGTGAGTTTGTTCATGAATGCGAGAGTGTTGTTGTCGGTAGTGTATGATGGATGGTGTGTGTGTGTGCGTGTGTGTGCGTTGACGTCTATTGGTTGTTGATAATTTGAGTTTGGGGTTGATTTAGGCTTAGTTTTGAGTGTGGTGATAGTGGTGACGACGACGTGCTCCTCGATAGTATAGTGGTGAGTATCTCCGCCTGTCACGTGGAAGGCCCGGGTTCGATTCCCGGTCGAGGAGTCGGCTTTTAATTCACACAACACACAACGCACACACACACACACACACTCGTCACTCTCTCACTCAACGTTGTCCACTCGTAGTCCAATGCACTGTATCCACTCCACTACAAACAAATGTCGCATCAATCCCGTTCCACGCACCAACATCTCCCACTTCTCTTCACTGTCCCATCGCTAACCGAAACTATTCGCTCACCAATCGACTACTTTCCAACAGCACTGACACACTCACAATTCACACATTTGCACAATGTGCACCATTCGAAATTGTGACAGGCTTTCAGTTAGGCGGATGGACAAGACCAAAATACACTGGATCATTTGACTGACCGACTCTGAATGCATCCACACACAGATCACGTCACCTACATTCGAGCTGAAACGTGGAAGTTGTCCGTTACAATGAATGTGTGTGTTTGAAGAGTGTGAACAATGACTGACAAACAGGTGAGTGGATGCAATGATGAGGAAGCCTTGACCGGTAGACAAATATCAGGCTGTGCAGTGTAAGATGGAGGGTGGAAAGTGCGATGTGACAGTGTCGGCATGTGGATGTCGTTCTGTGTGAGCGTGCTCCGTGATGTGTGGTATTAGTGGAGTGGAATGAGAGGATGTATGATTGAGTGTTGAAGTGACTGTGTTTGTGGAAGTTTGGTTGAGTCCGATGTACTGGGTGTATGTTAGGGGATAGTGTGTGGTGAGTGTGTGTGAATGTGTAGGGTGTTATGGTGTTGTGGTGTGACGAGCTCCCAAAAGCCGCTGCCCCCAGGGAGGATCGAACTCCCGACCCCTGGTTTACAAGACCAGTGCTCTAACCACTGAGCTATGGAGGCCGACAAATCTCTCACACAACACTCCGTCCACCATTCACTCACTCCTACAATCCTCCTACATCTCGTCCACTCACTGAAACACGCATCAATTTCACCACTGTCTCAAACACTCTACAAACACACAAGTGTCTTCAGTCAGTAAGACAGTCAATCGATCACACCATCATCGTAGTTTGCAATCAATAATCTATTCGACCAGTCAATCAATCAACCAACCAATGTAGCTTTCAAACACACTACACGACGGTTGGCCAGTCAGCCAGTCAATTCATCCATTCATCTGTCTAGTGTACGGGTGATCAATCATGTGATGTTCAAGTGCACACACTTACACACACCAGTCTATCAGTCGATCGTTCGATCAGGAGGTGAAAGCCGACTGTCAACTAACCAAACAGTCATGAAACCGGAGATTGGGAGAGGTGAGTCCACATCAGTGCTATCCACGTCTCTTCATCTGCCTCATCTGCAATTGTCACCATCACCATCACCATCGTCACTGTCACATCACTCATCACACGTCATCACGTACTGTGTCACTGAATCGTCACGGTGTGCTCGTCGTTCGACTAGTCGGTCGACGAACACCTGACTGTTTGTCCTAGTTCACTGGTTGTCTTGTTAGGCAATGTTGAGGAGGAGGTGTGTACAGTTGATCAGTATATCAACTAATATAGGATTTGAATAATGAGCAAGTTGATAAGCGTGAGATAGTATGTTGTGTTTGGTTTGATGTGAGTTTGTTCATGAATGCGAGAGTGTTGTTGTCGGTAGTGTATGATGGATGGTGTGTGTGTGTGCGTGTGTGTGCGTTGACGTCTATTGGTTGTTGATAATTTGAGTTTGGGGTTGATTTAGGCTTAGTTTTGAGTGTGGTGATAGTGGTGACGACGACGTGCTCCTCGATAGTATAGTGGTGAGTATCTCCGCCTGTCACGTGGAAGGCCCGGGTTCGATTCCCGGTCGAGGAGTCGGCTTTTAATTCACACAACACACAACGCACACACACACACACACACTCGTCACTCTCTCACTCAACGTTGTCCACTCGTAGTCCAATGCACTGTATCCACTCCACTACAAACAAATGTCGCATCAATCCCGTTCCACGCACCAACATCTCCCACTTCTCTTCACTGTCCCATCGCTAACCGAAACTATTCGCTCACCAATCGACTACTTTCCAACAGCACTGACACACTCACAATTCACACATTTGCACAATGTGCACCATTCGAAATTGTGACAGGCTTTCAGTTAGGCGGATGGACAAGACCAAAATACACTGGATCATTTGACTGACCGACTCTGAATGCATCCACACACAGATCACGTCACCTACATTCGAGCTGAAACGTGGAAGTTGTCCGTTACAATGAATGTGTGTGTTTGAAGAGTGTGAACAATGACTGACAAACAGGTGAGTGGATGCAATGATGAGGAAGCCTTGACCGGTAGACAAATATCAGGCTGTGCAGTGTAAGATGGAGGGTGGAAAGTGCGATGTGACAGTGTCGGCATGTGGATGTCGTTCTGTGTGAGCGTGCTCCGTGATGTGTGGTATTAGTGGAGTGGAATGAGAGGATGTATGATTGAGTGTTGAAGTGACTGTGTTTGTGGAAGTTTGGTTGAGTCCGATGTACTGGGTGTATGTTAGGGGATAGTGTGTGGTGAGTGTGTGTGAATGTGTAGGGTGTTATGGTGTTGTGGTGTGACGAGCTCCCAAAAGCCGCTGCCCCCAGGGAGGATCGAACTCCCGACCCCTGGTTTACAAGACCAGTGCTCTAACCACTGAGCAATGGAGGCCGACAAATCTCTCACACAACACTCCGTCCACCATTCACTCACTCCTACAATCCTCCTACATCTCGTCCACTCACTGAAACACGCATCAATTTCACCACTGTCTCAAACACTCTACAAACACACAAGTGTCTTCAGTCAGTAAGACAGTCAATCGATCACACCATCATCGTAGTTTGCAATCAATAATCTATTCGACCAGTCAATCAATCAACCAACCAATGTAGCTTTCAAACACACTACACGACGGTTGGCCAGTCAGCCAGTCAATTCATCCATTCATCTGTCTAGTGTACGGGTGATCAATCATGTGATGTTCAAGTGCACACACTTACACACACCAGTCTATCAGTCGATCGTTCGATCAGGAGGTGAAAGCCGACTGTCAACTAACCAAACAGTCATGAAACCGGAGATTGGGAGAGGTGAGTCCACATCAGTGCTATCCACTTCTTTTCTTCTCCAGTTATCGCTGTCACTGTGCAACCTAATTCTCTCAATTTTTATTTTATTATATTCCCTTCGATTTCGGATAATATTAATACTCTAAGTTGCTTTTATTCGAGGGTAGGTGTTTGTCGTCTGTTTTTTACCGACTTATTTTGTCATTGTTCACTCTGGTTTTTTGATTCAGTTTTCTCACTACAATGTTTTCATGCTTTTATTCCGTTTTATTTTTTTATCATATTCTTATTCTTTTCGATATTTTTAAAAGGTATAGGATTATTTGAATATGGATTCCATTGTATCTTTAAACAAATGAAGTGATCGCGTGTGTTAAAATGTTTCATACATGTACAAAGCGATGAGACTTGATGTTCACTCTGAGATGCAGGTACATCCAGTTGACGAGTTCCAAATAGGACGAGACGCGCATCCTGGATTCCACCGTTAGCCACTATTCATCTTTGTTTTCCATGCTTGTGAATTAGGATTATATCAAAGCAATACGCACAGTATGCACATATACCAATAAGAGACTAACCAGTTGTAGTCCTAACACATCAATGGGAAGATTCAAACAAGTAATACCAAGTGAATTTAAAACACTATATTGTTTTTACATAAATGCACATTTTATACATTATAGCACAATGAGAAGTTTAGTACATAAGGTTAGCATTTCGGGAAATGAAAGTCAATTGAATAATGATATGAAAGACATTAATTATTATATACAATAGCTATTTATTATTGTACAATATTATTGATAGACCTAATTGATTTCTTAGACAATGAACCATTGCTTTTGTTGTGGTTTTTAACACGATTGCGTAATGTGAATGTAATACACTATGATTTATGAAAGAAAAAATCAGAATAAAGGTATTAGTGTGTTTTCTTATCAAGATAAATAAATAAGTAGCATTCCAAAAAGAAAATGAGATACGAACTAACTGAGGTTGCCAATATAGATTATAGTATGCCTACTTATTAACTCCGCCTGTAGCTCTTCTAGAGTTACTGCCGATCCCAAGCCCAGGTAAAGGAGGAGGGTTGGGTAAGGGGTTAGCGACCCCATCTCGTAGAAAAGCTAACTCGCTAAAAAAACGCTAACCAGAAAAAATGCCTACTTATCGGTTTGAAAGTTAAGCGCTTCCAAGTTAGACTTCTGGTAGAGTTGTAGATGACCACTGCTAATAAATCTTATAACAGGACAAAATACTTATCTAGTTCTTCCTGATTTTCAATGGTTGTCTGGCTAAAATCAGTCCGCGATAAGAATAACAAACACGAACCAGTTGGTCAACATCACAGTGATCATTACATCTCTACATATTCTTACTATGAAATTTTTACCTGATTAATTTTGCCTTGATAATCGAGGACTTTCATGTTTACTTAACTTACACTCACATGTTACTTACTTACTTACGCCTGTTACCCCTCGTCAAGGAGCATAGGCCACCCACCAGTATTCTCCATCCAACTCTGTCCTGAGCCTTCCTTTCCACTTGTTATTCATCCTTTTCATATCTGCTTCTTTTTCCCGGCATAATGTATTCTTTGTCTTTCCTCTTTACCGCTTCCCTTCCGGATTCCAAGTTAGGGATTGCCTCGTGATGCAGTTTGGAAATTTCCTTAATGTATGTCCTATTCACTTCCAACGTCTTTTTCTAATTTCCTCTTTAGCTGGAATCTGGTTTGTCCTCTCTCATAAAACGCTGTTGCTGATAGTATCCGGCCAATGAATGTTGAGTATTTTGCATAAACAACTGTTTATAAATACTTGTACATTCTTGACGATGGATGTAGTAGTTCTCCACGTTTCAGCTCCGTACAGTAAAACTGTCTTGACGTTCGTATTGAAAATTCTCACTTTAAAGTTAGTTGACAGTTGTTTTGAGATCCATATGTTCTTCAATTATAGAAATACTGTCCTTGCTTTGCCAATCCTTGCCTTGACATTTACATCCGATCCTCCTTATTTATCAATGATACTTCTCAGGTACGTGAATATTTCCACCTCTTCCAGAGTTTCTCCATCAAGTGTGATTGAGTACATGTTACTTATTAGTAATTATTAAGATATATTTTGGAGCCCTGCTCAACCGATCATTATACATATATTTCTTACTATTCACAAGTTAAATGGATTAGATAACATGGTATATTACAGATTTTCTGTCAAAAATATTTCTACTGGTTCAATTTCAATTGTAATTGGCAAACACAATTACGTTATGTGATAATCGATACTGGTGAAGCCAACGATTACATTAGAAAGATGTTGTATACTCGGTAATTCATTGCTTTGCTATAATAATTATGCTAGTAACTAGTGCATAATTGTTGTGAAGAAAAATGGATGAGACTAAACTTTATGGACGACCTTTGAACGAATCTTAATTGACTTTGAGAAATATTAGCCAATCAGAAGACAGTTAGTATACAGTAAAAATATATTATACAAAAATAAAAAACTAAAGCGGATACTGTTCTTTTACATGGCTCGAAAACTTCTCAAGGTTAGATATAGGTTCAGAAGTTCTAAAATCATCGTGCATCCGGTACAGGAACTCATCCATGTGGCTCCATAGTAGTCGACCTCTGGAACCATGATAAGGTCTCAAAATTCTTTTAGCCTTGACCACATAGCTTCAATGTTGTGGGTATGTTGGTATGGTTTAGTGTTTATGGTTAGAGTTAAGGTTTAGGGTTGGGGTTTAGGGTTAAGGGTGAGACTAGAATTTATGGACGACCTTTGAGCGACGCTAGAGTGACTCTGAGAGTGTCAACATAATAACTAAGACTAAATGAGGGTTATAAACCTGTGTGAAGAATTCAAATTATGATTTACAGTTCATGGTTAAGGTTAGGAATTATACTTCATCACGAACTGACATCAACAATAATGCCAAAACTCTATTTATCCAAATGGATAATTGAATTTAGCGCCGAAATCCTATGATTACTTCTCTTGTAGACGCTGAATTATCACGTCTTCTCTTAAATACGTTGTAAAACCGACCGTACGTAAGCATTAGGTAACGAACTTAGCGCCGTGACCTTGAAAACCAACGAAAGCTTCTGATTGGCTCTTCCATAAAGTTTAGTCTTGCCGAAAAATGGAACGGCTTATTTTATTAAAACGACGGCAGAGAAGTGTTAGCCTGTTGGTTAGTGCAGTTCGTCAATAAGTCTCTTGTTCAAATCCCACTACTCCACCTTATACTATCCAGGCAACTAGATATTGTTACTAGTCATCGTATACAGACAACGTATATATACTAGATAGTAACTGGTAAATCACCTGTGATTATAAAGCCACAAAAATATACCACATATACATGTGTATACCTAATTCGATAAACTTTTATACCTGATCATCCAAAAGATCCATTAGTTTTTGTTGTCCAATGATGATACCATCCGATTTAAGCATATTATGTATAACATCGAATTCTAATGGCTGAAATGAAACGTTATTATTATCAATGTTATTGACATTACCGTATAAGTTAAAATATTCATATATAAGTTGGGATTATTCTTCAAATAATGTAACACAGTTTGATTTATATTAACCTAAAATGAAAGGAAAGTATTAGAAAAAACATTGAATAGACTGAATATAATAAGAAGGAAGAGTAATGCATACGCTCAGTAGTTACGTGTATTTTTTTTATATTGTTGATATTCAGAACTGAATGTAATCAGTCTCTGTTAGTATCTAACGAACACTCAGATCAGATAAAGAAAACTCAGCAGTTTAGTGGATTATGCAATAATGTTTGAAGCGATCGATGTTAGATCTGATCCTTGATGTGAAAATCAACACTGTGATGCAAAACTTACTGTTCTGATGACATCCAAATCAGAAAAAAAAGTTCGTCCCATATTCCACTACTAGTTAAACACCGTGATTTTTTCTAGAAAAGTAAAGTTCCCGCCCGTAGCCCATCCAGGGGCTACTGCCGGTCCCAAGCCAGGATAAAGGAGGAGAGTTAGGCATGGGGTTAGCAACCCCGTCCCGTAGAAAACTAAATCGCTAAAAAAAACTCTGAATAAGTAAGTAAAGTTCGGTAAGAAGCCATTTTTTCATGCAATTTTCTTTATACCAGGAATTTCATAAATTAACAGTGTAAATTTTAATAAGATCAGTATTTATTATGAGTTTTATTTATTTATTTCTTTATAAATATTGGTACAAGCGGGCACCAGATACATATGCGCCACACAAATCTCATTCGATTTGTATGAGGGCTGTAATACTGCTCAGGTGCCCAAACTGAAGCAGCTGGTTTTCTTAGGGGGCCACACCCGGAGCCTTCGGCCTAACAGTCTGATTCACAAGACAGTGGAGTATTGTGAGGAGATACAGTCCAATGTTAGCCGGTGACCAACGATTGATTCATACGCCATTTGTTCCCTTAGGATACTGGAGCCCATGTGAACCATTGGTTTGTAATCAGGGTTTTCCAACTCCCCTAGGTGAATACACCATATCTACCAACCCGGTTAAAGCTCTGGACATTCGCCTTCCGTCCTCTCAATTTCGTAAACAACACCCCCGTCACTGTGAGAAGGCAGTGAGTAGGACTTCCCTATCAGTGGCTGCATACGTGTGGTCATGTGAGAGCATTTGAAGAAGGAGAGCGGACTCTCCCTACTCTCGGCCGTACAAGGGCATCGGGTGTGTAAACAACAGGACTTATTTAAGACTTTTCGTTCAAACAATGTATTTCTTCATAAGATCTAAGTAAGAATTATTAGGACAGAATACCTAGGTCGATCCATCCTAGTTTTCAATGTTTATTTACTCTTACACGAGCTACACTTAACAATAAACAATGTCTCGACATATGTATAGAACAGTTTCCATTTATGCTAGAATTAGAGGAAATTTATGATTTCATCAACTTATTCGTATTGCCTAGAATGCTTTCCATAATTATATTATTACTCATTGCAGATATGGCTTACATACACACGTAGACCTAATGTTTCAAACAAAATAATATGAACAACTCAATATTGAATCAAGATAATTGATCAGTTGAACAATGAAAGGGTACTCTATACTGATGATGTTAAGTGAACTACATAGAATTAAGCAAAGATGGATAGTGGCTAGCAGTGGAATCCAGTTTGACGAGCGTATCGTCCTATTTGGGACTCGTCAGCAGGATGTACCTGCATCTCAGAGTTGATGTTCACTCTGGGACTCGAACTCAGTACCGTTCGCTTCAAACGCCATCGCGTTATCCACTCAGCTATTGAGACCAGTTGTAGTCCTAAACATCAATGCGAAGATTCAAACAAATAATACTAAGCGAATTTAAAAAGATCATTTGTATCTTGCTGTAAACTAAGGAAAACTGAAAACATGCAGTTTCTAAAATACTTTAAACTGATAAAACTATCTACTATGTAATTGAACAATAAATATAACATGGTAATAAATCTAAATTACAAAACATACTAGCTCCCGAAGTAGATTGTATATAAATGTACTTGATGAGATTTATTGTATAGTGTAAAAGGTGTTTATGTAGTTAAATAGTGGCGAAGCATCATAGAATTATGGCTGATATCAGTTCATGATGAAAACCCTAACTGATAACATTAAACTAACTCTTAATACATAACGCTTAACCATTTTTTCACTATTATCTAGTCAGTAACTCAATATCTAAGGGTTTAATAATTATATTAAAACTATCAATTTACAGTAGTTTTACTGATTTCTACTGTTAAGTATTTTATAAATAAACACTCTCTTGGTCGGTCGAGGTTGTCAGCATAGTGTAATATAACCCGTTAAGCATTGGTTGATACAAGAATTATTTTATATAGTTAAGATCATGAGTCAATTGAAGCTAGACTACCATGGAAAACCTGGAAGCACTTGACTCCTCACCAGTACGCATGCACGATACCGCCTCGCAAGATTCAAACCTAGGACCTACCAGTCTCGCGCGCGAGGACTTAACCGATAAACCACCAAACCGGCATCCAACGGTGTTAATGTCTAACCTCAACCAATCCATGAAATTGCGCGACCAACTTTCATTGTACTGAGGTAGATACCTGTCTCTACCTGACATAGATTAGCTCCACTGGTCACGACTTCTCACTAGAACTCTAGGAATTACCTCATGGAGCCAGTCACTAACATCTCCACAAAACCCCCTTCTGATAAGAATTATTTACGATAATAACTATAAATATAAAGATGAATAGATACCTTGTCCTTATTGACTTGTTTTTGACTTAGTTTATCCAAATCTTGACTATTTGAATGAGAGAGTTCATCAGACGAAATAACTTCATTAGAGGGAGCTGAAGATGATATAGTTGGTATTATTGTTGATAACAAAGATTCTTGTTGGACAAAACTATCACCTCTACCATCATCATCAGTAGCATTTTTACAACTGATAGGTAATAATGATAAATTATGTACATTAGTTGGAACATTTAACAGCATCTTTTTAGATCTGTCTAATTTACTACTACATTTCTTTTCTTTACCTATACAGTTTTCTTGTAGTCGTCTATTGTTATTGTGCTTCACTGATCCAATTGGTTTGTCAGGCATGAATTCATTCTGTTCATCTTCTTCATCTATAATTGAAAATTTCGGGTTTTTTTTTAACAAAAGCAATAAACAGAAACAGTGATTTAGTTTAAAAATTAAATAAAATTAGTAAATGATAACCACGAACTGATCTTGACAAACTCTCATTGAAAACCTGGAAGTATTGGGACAGTTGTTCTGTCTCAGTGTGAGATTCCACAGCAGTGCTCAGCTCCCGTAATTCTAGTGAGTATCAGTGACCAATGGAGTTTAACTATGTCAGGTGTGAGAATTACCCACCTCAGACAATGGACAGTGATTGCAAAATACCGTGGATTGAATGGAGTTAAACATTAACGTCACTGGATGCCGACCCAGTGGTCTAGGTTTAGATTTTAAAGTGGAGGGTCGTGGATGGACCCCGCCGAGGCACCTTAACCCAGAATCTTATTAATTGCTTCACTTTGCTTCGATTAGATTCGACTCTAAATCCGTATAAGAATTCGCTTGCTCGCACACATGAGCCTTTCCGCTCAAACCTGGTTGGTGTTCGTAATTTTGTTATCTGTACCATTTGGCAGTTCATGTCGCCTTCCGAATTCATATACCGTTTGGGATTTATTTAATAACTGTTAACATGGTGATTGATAAACTGAACACAAGGAATTATCTCGAAGCTAAGCCGCTACAAGTCCTAGATTGAAATGGAACACATACACACTAGCTTCTAGTTTTAATGATTCTTCAGGTTTCTTTTTTGGTCCATGTTGATAATTAACATCATACTGTACAATCTCCACAAATACCTCATAATGGTAATGGTAATAATATCCTCGCTAGTAACTTGCTTCAAAAGACAGACATTGTGATAGGTGGAGGTAAAAATAAATCTGGAGTAAAATGTCATCATTTACTAAAAGACATGGTTTGTTAATGCATTTGTCTGTTGGTCGACATGGAGGGTCTACCTAGGGGAGTTGGAAAATCCTCATTCCAAACCAATGGTACAGATAGGCTCCATGATCCTGAAGGAACAAATGGCGTATGAACACATTGTTGGTCACTGGCTACCATAGGACTGTATCTCCTTACGTTGCTCTACTGTCTTGTGGATCAGACCATTAGGCCAAAGGCTCGGGATGTGACCTACTAGGAAAACCATCTACTTCAGTCTGGGAACCCGTGCAGTATCACAGCCTACACACAAATCAAGTGACTTGTTCAATATTTACGTGTTCAAATAAATAATTAATAAATAAATGTATCTATGCTAATGAGACCACATGGGACAAACCTTGCAAAACTATAAATAATGGAGATTAATATGATTTATATTCTCACTGTTGATTTATTAGACAGAGTTATTCAATATTGATTCATATACAAGAATTATACTAAGAATAAAACTTCATCAGTAATATTTGTTCACATATATGTATGATCTAAGATGCTACCTTAACGGCTGAAACGAAGCAAGTGGCTCTCTTAGTAGACAACGTTTTGAAACTCTAACTTAGGTGTCTAATCCACAAAGCACCAGAGCAAGCTTGGCAAATGCGATACCATAGTAGCCAGTGACTGAAATAGATTCGCATGCTATTTACTCTCTCAGGAACCTGGAGCCCATATACCTTATTGACATAAAGCCAAGGTTTTTCTATCTTCTTCTATAGACTTTTCATCTCCACTGACTCAGTTTAAGCGTCGGACATCCTCTTCTCATTCTCTCAGTTTCATAGAAATCAGCACCACATGAAGGTGATGAGCAAGACCTTCAAGCAGAAGCCAGAAAGACATTTGGGTAAATGAGTCTTTTGAGAAAGAAGGAACAAACATTATCAACCCTTGACTATACCAAATCATTTGGCAGCGTCAATACAACTGAATAATGAGAATAAACTTACACTGATGAAGTTGATTATAGATTTCTTTTAAGAGTAGTACAGCACGTTTACGTGGAAGAGGTTTCACACCATATTTAGATAAAGCACGCTAAAACAAGAGAAACAAGAGAATACTGAAATGCTTTAAATGCTTCGGAAAAATACGCACTTCAACTCCACACCTGAAATTATAAAATTTAAGTTGAATGAAAGTAGGTGTTGACTGCAAACAACTAATTTACCATGGAATATAGAAAGTGAACAGCTTACGTGATTGGTGATCTAAGTGTTGAACAGTATATCCATAGGATATAGGACGAAACGGCCGTCCAGTGCTTCCAGGTTTTCCATGGTGGTCTAGCTTCAATTGACTCATGATTTTAACTATATATAAAAAATTACTAAAAACCTCCACAAACAACCCCCGATATCACTATTAGTTAGAGTTTTTCAATGCTAGATAGGATAAGTATTGAAGATGCAGGAATTATTGCAATCGAACATAAATAAAACTAACAAAATCTAACCTGAAGTGTGGAATAATTACAAAAGACACAATATGTTATAATCAGTATGACCAGTAGGTAACGATAGCCAATTTCTAAAGAGTAAAACATGATTTCCGACCACATCTCATCTACTACTGAGTACTGGATAAGTAGGATCATTGCCTTTTATATATTCACTATGACGAATTGGCTATTTCATAAACATCTAGTTGGACATTAACACCGTTGGATGCCGGCTCAGTGGTCTATCGGTTAAGGGCTCCGACTCGAGACTGGTAGGTCCTGGATTCGAATCTAAATAATTGCTGAAATGAGTGCAAATATATATTGAAATGAGATATTACAATGGACGTACTTTCAATTCCGGAGTCATCATTTCCTCATATTTAGGTAACGGGGTAAAAGGGATCGGTGTATTGTTGACCGATCCAGGCATAGAATTTGGTGAATTTTTATCTGGTGTCAATAATTGGTCAGAAGCAAATGTTTCTTGACAATTTTCTCTGTTAGTAGGTTTAATGAGCAGACTCTCATTGATTTCCTGTGGTTTATTATTACAATCATCGTCATTGCTATTGTGATTATTGAATGGATTTGTGGTTAAAAAATCAAGTACTGAATCAGTAAGAATAGATTTTTTCGTATGACAAACAGAGTTAGAAGGAATAGTATTAACTGTACTACTATTTTTAACGTCAGTAGTAATAGTAGTTACATGCAATAATGGATTTGAAATTATCTCATCATTATTTGATAAGCGTATACGTTTCATCAAAGGTGATGGAGTTGTTTCATCTTCCAACCAAGAATTATACAAATGCTTTGGAGTAGTAGCTTGTACACCATTATTATTTGAGACTGAAGATAATTTTGTACTAGTAGAGGAGTCGTTTAAAAGGAGGATTGGTGAATTATTATCCGTTGTTTCTGGCTTAAATGATAAAACGAAACCAAAATAGATTGGTGAGCTTTTTTTTTAAAAAAAAGATTGAATCAACAGTGGAAAACTTCAAAAGATATACAGTTCTCAAATTTATTTCAAGTCAATTACTTTTGTTTCCAAAGTTACAAGAAAGTGATCAAAACTACTTTTAATCATTCAGAGATTTTGGGAAAATTTTGAGATCTAAGAACTAGTTCATCACACATTTTCCCTAGCCCCCAAATGCCCTGGTACGGCCGAGGGTGTGGAGAGTCAGCTCTACCTCTTCAAATACTCTCACATGACCACGTGCATACAACTACTGCAAGGGAAGTAATACTCACTGTTTTCTCACACCACGGATGTTGTTTACGAAATTGAGAGAACGAAAAGCGAATGTCCGGAGCTTTAACCGAATTGGTGGACACTCTTCGTGTCCACCAAGAGGAGTTGAAAAACCATGATTTCAAACCAATGGTGTACATGGGCTGCAGTATACTGATTTATTTATTTAAACACATATATATTGGTACAAAAGGGCACCAGATACATATGCGCCACACAAAATAATGAAAGTAGGAAGAGAAGGGATGAAAAGATAAGGCGGACTGAAATGTAAAACCAGAAGATTCTTTCAGTTAAGAAAGTTAGAACCACTCTTTATGTAGAAAGTAAAAGAAGGTTGCAGCAGGATCGCCACTGGCTTCTATTCTGAGCCATATCTGATAACGTCTCTAGCCACTGTGTTGCACCATCTCTCAAACCCCAGCCAGGGAGTCGTGAAGGATCAACAGAAGCTAGCCCTTTGCAGCTTTCTTTCATGCCACGACACCATGTCATACACTGACCACCTATCCGCTTTTTCCAACCAGTCCCAGGGTCGGCAAATAATGCACGACGTGGAAGTCTCTGGGACGACATTCGTAAAACATGTCCAAGCCACCGAAGTTGGTGTTTCAAGATGGTGACACCAACTGAATTTTTGTCTCTGCACCCGAACACACGATGCCGAACCTCTGCATTACTAACATGGTGTTGCCACTGAATGTCAGCAATCCTTCGGAGACAACGATGATCGAACACAGAGAGACGTCTAACATCCTCAACTCGGAGAGGCCAGGTTTCACAAGCATAGAGCAAAACTGCTCTCACCGACGCGTTGTAGATCCGACCTTTTACAGTCAGACTAACATCACGAAGGCGCCAAAGATGGCCCAGATTGGCATAAGCCGCTCTGGCTTTCATTATACGTGCATCAATCTCATCACTCACGCCACCACCAGCACTTATATAGCTACCTAGATACACGAACTTCTCAACTACTTCGATCTCCTCACCATCTAGGGCGAGTACAGGATGAGAATCCTGCCAGTCTTGTAGGAGTACTTTGCACTTGGAGGGTGCAAAGCACATGCCGTACCTGCGGACACTGATTGACAACTGATTAAGTGCGGATTGCATGCCTTGGGCATTATCTCACAGTAAGACAATATCATCCGCGTACCCGAGGTCGAGAAGTCGTTCTCCAGGCAACGTATCCACACCGCCATTACTTACATCCATCAGAGCTGTTTCCAGGATGTCATCGATGGCAAAGTTGAAGAGGAATGGTGAGATCGGGCAACCCTGCCTAACCCCACTGCTCGAATGGAACAAGGGAGAGAGGTGGTTGTATGCCCTCACTCTGCCTGAGATGTTCGTATACAGGGCCTTTAAGATGTTAATGAACTTCTCAGGCACACCCTTCTTCAATAGACAATCCCAGAGAACAGTCCTGTCCAACGAATCCAAGGCCGCCCTGATATCAAGAAACACTACGATTGTTGGCCTGCGATAAGTATGACGGTGTTCTAACATTTGGCGGAGGGTGAAGATGTGATCAATGCATCCTCGACCAGAACGAAAACCAGCCTGCTCCTCGCGAGTCAATCGTTCTCGGGTTTTAAACGACCTACGAAGAATGACAGAAGCCAATAGTTTGGACGCAATCGGAAGTAGACTTATCCCCCGATAGTTGTTACAGGAACAACGTGAACCCTTTTTAAAGATAGGGACGACTCTTGACTCATTCCATGATGTCGGAACACTTTCTTGCTTCCACACCTTTGCAAACAACGCAGTCAGTTCCTTAGCCAGAAAGTCACCACCATCTTTAAAAAGAGCCGGAGGTAAGTCATCTGGGCCAGGTGATTTATAACGTTTCAAGTGTTGGAGTTCCTTGCGGACTTTCGCCTCGTTTGGTGGATCAGTCGTCACCGGCCATGGGAGGCAGGACAAACTGGTTGATGTTGCCGGAGCAGCAGGCCAGTTGAACTGCCCTTCGAAAAATTCCGCCCATCGTCCAAGACGTCGAGAGATTGGCATCCCGTCATCCTCGCAGATTGTTTCACTCACACCAGACTTCTTGCTGCCAGTGGCTCGGATGAATTGGAAGAGCTTCCGACAGTTACCAGATGCAGCTGCTGCTTCCATCTCATTAGCACGCTCCGACCATCAGGCTTCTCGTTCCTTACGCAAGCTTTGCCCGATTTCATTACATAACAGCCTTCGTTTGTGGTCAAACTCACGGTCACCCGGAGTAGACCAACGGACTTCCATCAGTTGTAAGGAGCCAGAAGCCCAGTGCTTGTAAGCGGGACGTTTCGCGAAGCCGCAAGCGACTTTACTCGCCATTTTCATGGCGTCATGAAGATGCAACCAATGCTCATCTATACTTTTCGGTGGGATGGTAACTAGCCTAGAGGCTAGCTCCGCTGGATACTTACTTGCAACAGAAGTTGCAGCCGGTTTACTAACATCGATCCGTTGGTGGTGGTCAATCCTTCGGCCACTGAAAAGTAAGGTAAGATTGGCGCAGACCAGGGCATGATCAGACTCCAGATAGGTACTCCAAAAGGAGCGACAGTCATGTACACAACCACGACAGCGGTAGCTGATTGCGATGTGATCAATCTGAGTCCAGGCTTGAGATGCAGAGGGAGGACGCCAGGTGGCACACCGGCGATGACTGTGCCGGAAGTTAGTGCTAGCCAGAAACAGGTTGTGGTCTGTGCACAGTTGCAGCAAACGGTCTCCGTTATCTGTCCTGCGACCAACAAGTCCCAATCGGCCACCTAAACGACTCTCTTCTGTGCCTAGACGCCCGACCTGAGCATTCAAGTCTCCGGCTAATACTACAATATCTGTCGAACGCACTTTCTGGAGAAGAACTGTTAACTGATGGTAAAACTCATCCTCGATTGCATCCGGGCTGCAATCTGTCGGGGCATAGGCGGAGATGACGAAAAGACACCGTTTCTCACGCCGGTTTCTTCTCACTTTGATGGAACTTTCTAATCTAACAGCACATAACCGACTGTTAATGGGGATCCAATCGATTAGTGCTGCCTCAGCCCTAGCGCTTAGTGCAACACCAACGCCTGCAAGAGCAGACGAAGATGCCACAGAGTCCCCGGATAAGCGCGCGTGAAACAAGCTTTTCGAGGCGACAGATGGAGAGCGAATTTGTAGTACTTTACTAGAGTCTTGAATACGGGTCTCGGATAGACAGCAAACATCAATATTAAGACTTTCTAAAGACATAGCCAGCCCCATCTGTTGTCCGATCTGCATTAGTGTGTGAACGTTGAAGGAAGCCAGCTTGAACGGCGTACGTGGTTTCAGAAAGACTGCTTCAGTATTCGGAATCGGTGGAAGCATTAACTTTCAACCAGACAGTGACTGGAAATCGTTTAGATAGGACAGAGTTTCCACCATGGGTGAGCTACTGCATAAGTTGGAAAATAAGAATACACAATTTGGAAATAAAGGGAGTGAAAAAGAGACGTAGTAAATAATAGTAATAATAATAATAATGGTAATAATAATAATAATGCAAATTGTCTTTCTTCTATTAGGAACGAGAGCAGTGTCGTTAGTGTAGTGCGTCATTTCATGTCATTTTTGTGTGGGTTGTGATACTGCCCGGGTGCCCAAACCGAAACAGGTGGTTTTCTTAAAGGGCCACACCACAAGCCTTTCACCTAAAGGTCTGATCCATAAGGCAGTGGAGCATCGTAAGGAGATGCAGCCCTATGGTAGCCGGTGACCAACGATTGATTCATACGCCATTCGTTCCCTCAGGATACTAGAGCCAGCCCATGTGCACCATTGGTTTGGAATCAGCGTTTACAACTCACCTAGGTGAATTTTCCGTGTCCACTAACCCGGTTAATGTGCCGGACATTCGCTTTTCGTCCTCTCACTTTCGTAAACAACACCCCCTCCACGAGAAGGCAGTGAGTAGGACTTCCCTGGCAGAGACTATATATTCGCGTGGCCATGTGAGAGCATTTCGAGAGGGAGAATAGACTCCCCCCACTCTCGGCCGTACCAGGGCATTTGGGGGCACAGTATACTGAAGGAACAAATGGCGTGTGAATCAATCGCTGGTCACCGGTTACCATGGAACTGAATTTCCTTACGATGCTCCACTGCCTTATGGATCAGACCTTTAGGTCAAAGGCTCCGGGTGTGGTCCCCTAAGAAAACAACCAGCTTCAATTTGGGCACTCGAGCAGTATCACAGCCCTAACACAAATCAAATAAGATTTGTGTGGCGCATATGTATTTGGTGCCCCTTTGTAACAATATTTATGTGTTCAAATAAATAATAAATAAATCATTTTCCCTAATCTGACTAACCAAAAGACGAATATTCGACCGTTTTAAAAATTTCTTTCAAAACGTTTTCGAAGTATTAAAGTCGATTTTCAACCTTTTTTTCCTTCGAAGTTGAAGTGTCAAAGCTTTTTTGTGTGTCTGAAAATCGGTTTATTCGGCCAGTTAGTAATATTCAGGGTAGAGCCCGACATAAATGAGCATCGACTGATGCTCCCATACAACAGAAGAATGAGAATTTATCAAGACAAATGTCACAGTGGTAGGAGTAGTAACAAAATCTGCGGTAGACGATGATATCAAACGCAAGTAAAATAACTTGAAAGAAAATAATGAATTCGTGAAGTAGAAAGGCATAATATCATTTTAAAACTTAGGATCTAACAGAAGACAGAAAGTGAACGCATCTGGGCCATTGTAACAAATACTGGGCAATTTCGTTTAATACCCCCTGGATTCCAATAGACAGTTGTTTGGGTGCTGTCTGATTAAACGAGACAGTAAGAACTCGAAAAGATAGGGATACGCGCCGTTGCCTCTGCCTACGTCCCCACAGATTTCAGCTCAGAGGAAGTCAATGACAAATTTCATAGGAAGCTTTTCATCCTCCCCCCCCCAAAAAAAAAAAACTAGCTCGGGTCTAGTAAAATGCAAGATGATTTTAATGACTAAGTAGATAGAATAAACCAGACAGAAAGGCACTTGGGTAGATCTTACGGTGTCACGGCCCAGCAAACAAACAATGGGACCGTCTGCTGCAACTGTGTTTAGACAACCACTTATTTCTAACAAGAATCAACTTAAGGAATAAAAACGTCCCTTAACATGGCGACCCCTCAAACGACGGACTCAGACCATAATGTCATCAGCCATTGTTCGAGGGTCTAGATAGATGACTGTCGCTCATTCTGGTGCAAATGTTTAGACCTAGATCATGCTCTAGTTCGAACGCGGACTGGTCCGCACATTTTACCATGTACCACGTTGGCTGCAGTGTAAACGTTTTTAAAATTTATGCACATTGATGGAAATAATAGAACAATGCATCTTTGACAAATTCTTAGCAATCGCAACTGATGAAAATAAAGATGTAATGTTGACATCTTGGATTATCTAATAAACTTAAACTAGTTAGAATCCTGGCTAGAAATCATGTGATTTGGATGTTATCTAAGTACCCCAACAAAAGATTTATCACATATCAGAAGAACAGTGCTTTACACATTATGATTTTTAACGTAAATTCTTATTTACTTAGTATTGTTTGGTTGGATCTTCTCATTGATGTTTTTAGGACTGCAGTGGAATCCAGTTTGACGCGCGTTTCGTCCTATTTGGGACTCGTCAACTGGATGTACCTGCATCTCACTTAGTAAATTTCAACTTCACCCCATTGCACAAGCAAATAGCTGTCAAGACTCAGTGGCCGAGTGGATGACGCGATGGCGTTTGAAGCGAAAGGTACTGGGTTCGAATCCCAGAGTGAACATCAACTCTGAGATGCAGGTACATCCAGCTGACGAGTCCCAAATAGGACGAGATGCACGAGCTGGATTCCACTGCTAGCCACTATCCATCTTTGCTTATCATGCTAGTAAATTCTTGTTTAAAAACAACGATAAGTTACTATGAAATTACCTGGATGAGTGAAATATCAACATGAACTATAATGACGTCAACAAATCACGTAATAAATAAAATAGACTTACTTCTGCTGTAAGTTTAGTAATCGTTTTCAATGTACCATTAAGATTAGTATCATCAACAGATTGTAGAGTTTCTACTTGATTAGAATGATGATTAGTTTCCATAACAATATGATCAACATTCTCATTGATGCTATCATCATTATCAGAGAATAAAAATAAATCACGACTAAATTGAGCTAGATTAGGAGTATACAACTTTGATTGAATAATAGGAGTATTAACTGATATTAATGGTGATAATGATGATGATTGAGTTGTAACTATTTGATATTGTTGTTCATGATTTAACCTGTCGACTGAGAGAATAGTGGAATCAACAAAGCTAGATACAGAATTTGTATCAGATTTATCAGTAGTTATAATAGGATCAAAATAAGTTACTTGCAGTGAAGATTGAATAGGATTATCAATATTGATTTGTGCTGCCTGATTTAAAGCTGTTGATGTTTGTATTGAGATAATAGAAGAATTAGAATAGGAATAATCATTATAATTAATATTTTCCATTTTGTAATCTGTCGATAAATCAATTGAATGTGTTAGGGAATAATCTTCCGGTTTAACAATGTCAAGTTCAGATTTTACATTATTCAGACCCCAACTTAAAATAGAAAATATACACATGAATAGAAATGTTATAATCAAATGTGTTTATGTGTACGGTTGAAACTGTTACGTGAGTTTTAACATGAATATAATATCAACTGTTTTAACTCAGTCAGTCAGTCAGCTACAACGTAGGACCAGGCACATTAATGCATCGGTCCAAGTTGCCATACCTCGTTAGCACAACAAGATGAACACCGGATTCATAGAAGTCATTAATTTAGTGGTGGTAGTAGTATATAAATCATAGGTTGTATATAAGGATATTGTATAGGAAGAAAGAGAGATATGAAGCAATTTTAGTCTCAAGGTTTAAAGGAAGATAACTGATCTTGGTAAATCTAAGAGATTAATAAACATACATTTTGGGTAGAAACGATGATTACATTAACAATTTTAATGGTTACTCAACTCTTTGGTACAACTTACCCCTTGAACTATGAGAAGTGAGAGGGATTTATTTCATTGCACAGCTTGAGATCTTTTCTTTATTTTATTTAAACACATAAATATTGGTACAAAGGGTTACTAGATATATATGCCCCACACAAACAATTGTCGTTTCATTTAATTGTGTAAGGGCTGTGATACTGACCAGATGCCCAAACCGAAACAGGTGGTTTTCTTAAAGGGCCACACCACAAGCCTTTCACCTAAAGGTCTGATCCATAAGGCAGTGGAGCATCGTGAGGAGATGTAGTCCCATGGTAGCCAGTGACCAACGATTGATTCATAAGCCATTTGTTTCCTCAGGATACTAGAGCCAGCCCATGTGCACCATTGGTTTGGAATCAGCGTTTTCCAACTCACCTAGGTGAATTTTCCGTGTCCACTAACCCGATTAATGCGCCGGATATTAGCTTTTCGTCATCTCAATTTCGTAAACGACACCCCTGGTGCAAGAAGGCAGTGAGTATGACTTCCCTGGCAGAGGCTATATACGCGTGGCCATGTGAGAGCATTTCGAGAGGGAGAGTGGTCTCGTCTCACTCTCGGCCGTACCAGGGCATTTAGGAACTTGAGATCTATTGATGTACTTATGGATAACTCTAGAATTCTAAATAGTTCTAAATCATCTGTCAATATTACTAAGAGACTGTGTAGTACCTAAGTGCGTTCGGATAAGAATGCAAGCATAAAATATTAAAATATATATGTTGGAATCCGTCAAACTCAACAACTAATTTGTTAAATCATCAATACAACATAGAAATATGACGTGGTGTAGTAGTCATGTAGCCAGGGCTTTTTGTCATCTGTCGTTCTCAGGGTTAATGAAGAATAACGAATTCTCATGGCTTTATTGATTAGGAATGAAATATCAGCATTTAGAAGAGAACAGCTTACTACCAAAACGATAACAGTCTAGCTATTCTCTGAATTCTATTTAATTCTTTTGTGACATAAATACAAGATGAGTTCAATTAAATAGAAATAAAAACGGACGAGACGAATAAAAAGCATTTTGATTCAATCAATGGTTGTTAATCTTATTTCCGAACTGTAGTTTTGTGAGACCTAATGTTAACTAACACTTGAAATTCATAGATTCAAGTGTACTACTGTTACACAATATAAGCATAGTTGTTAAAAACAGTCGAGTAAATTTACTCAACCCGTTCGATCAAAAAACGGATTATATATATACGTACAGCATACATACGACAAAACAATACACACAGGTGACGAGTCCCAAGTAGGACGAAACATGCGTCCTGAATTTCACCACTAGCCACCACCTAACCCTGCTTAAAACATATCAAAAGTTGAAGATATCGACATGGACCAACAAAAAACTACTGCCCGACTCCTCTTTAGAAAAATGAACGACTGAGAGAAACGGAGAAATAATTGGTGTCATCATAGCGAGCAAATAAATGGTTTCATCTAGTAATGCTACATGAAAGTTACTGCTGCCTAATATGAGTAGTTTCTCTCGTTCAAATTTATTTGTATAAAAAGTAACTTTTAATTGCTCAACTATTGTGGATAAACATCCATTTAGAACAAAAATCAAGATATAAGAATTATATATAATTCAATTCAAAATAAATGACTAGAACTTATAGTTGCGTTTAAACAAGAAATTATAGTCTGATGCAAGCACACCAGAATATACATATTCAAAGAAAATTACAAAAGTTAAACAGTGCAAGATCTAGTATGTTTGCAGCCCCAAATTCCCTAGTACGGCCGAAGGTGGGTAGAGTCAGTTCTACCTCTCCAAATGCTCTCACATGGCCGCATGCATACAACTACTGCCAGGGAAAACCTACTCACTGGCTTCTCACATCACGTGAGTTGTTTACGAAATTGAGATGACGAAATGCGAATGTCCAGAGCTTTAACCGGGTTGGTAGATATGGAGTATCCATCTAGGTGAGTTGGAAAACCCTCATTCCAAACCAATGGTACACATGGGCACCACGATGGTGAAGGAACAAATGGCGTATGAACACATTGTTGGTCACTGGCTACCATGGGACTGCATCTCCTTACGTTACTCCATTGTCTTGTGGATCAGACTATTAGGCCATAAAGCTCGGGATATAAAGGTGATATAAAATCAAAATACTAAAAATTTTACCGATTACTTTGGAATGTTCATTGTTATAAGTGAACAAATATTAGCTTATCTGATAGGTCATATTTAATCATAGTTAAATGATGTGTTCTCTTTTTACATACAAAGCAAGATTATCATTTCTTACTACCACTACAAAACAAAACTTATATTTAGTCCATTTTTATCATTAGTAATGAAATCAAACTAGAGAACTATCAAATAAAGATGAATTGATCTATTGAAGTTAAGTACTGAATCATTATTATTATTATTATTAGATTTTGACTTCAAATTGTCCGAAATGCTTCATACTCAATGTAAAACCAAAATAGTCTTGAACTCTGTTTTATGTTGAGAAATTTCAAAACTGTAGCAGTATATACATCTTCACGAGATTTTAATTAGTAACAAAAATTATATTTAAAATAGAATATATACGTAGTATTTAATCAGTTAGATAGTAGTAGTATATGAAGGACAAACAACCATCATAAAGTAAATCTGTTTCAAAGATATTGCTTATGACATACTGAAGACACATCTACATAGACCGGTCAGAGCGACATCGATCGCAGTAAGTCTTCGTATAAATCACTATAAACACCCTCATATATGCGCCCATATCCAAGATAAGTTTCCAAGACCAACCGATTTAATACGAGTGTACCAGTTTACCTCCTCTTGTGGAGTTAGAAACGTAGTTCATTCGTGGAGGTCAATTCTCCATTGCATTTAGGGGCATCTACCAGCATGGCTGGGAAAACATCGGAATAAGTTTAATTAAGTCGTTGATTCTGCAACATCTAAACTAAAGATATTCATCCTTCGATTCACTGTTTAATATAATTTACAATAATTAGTCAACGATGCAAAGACGGTTACGCTTTTACCTGCATTATATCATGAATACTTCGGTTATCAACAATTTGAAACCTAAGTTCTACGTACAAATATAATTTGTTGTACATATATATATATATATATACTGATATATTGCTACGTACTTTCTGATTATGTTTTGTAATGCTTCTGATGCATGATCAATATATTCAATTGTAAGTTTTGAACGATCTCCACTGTATAATATTTGCAAAAGATTAATAAGTTCATCTTTGGATACATTACGAACTTCAATGATATCACACTATAGAAAGGATAACAGAGAGAAGAAAATAGGTCGAGAACGCAAAGTAAAATTAAAATCATAAATTATACAAATTAATCGTCTAATGACTAATGAAATCATTTAACTCAATGGAATGATTCTATGATGACGTATGAAGCTCTTTCAAGTTCATTCCATCGGTTGGGTAGGTTGAAGAGAATCATTAACAAATACATGATCCAGTGAGGTATTTTATAACCTACAGAATACTTACAACTTCGCCTGTAGCTACTCCGGGGGCTACTGCCGGTCTCAAGCCCGGGTAAAGGAGGAGGGTTGGGCATGGGGGTTAGCGACACCATCCCGTAGAAAACCAACTCGCTAAAAAAAACGCTAACCAGAATACTTACAGTACACTGTTTTTATTCTAAATTTAAAAGCCTTTTTCTTTGTAATATTTTCTGTGTTTTAGTAATTCATAAACTGAAAATGAAAATAATCTTCATAGACATTTAATCCTTAGTAGAACACACAAACATAACTTCTAAGTGGATAAGTAATCATTGGTATCTCCTCAATAAATGGAATCTAAACTAATCGGACGACAGGTAAAAAAAGATGGCAACCAATAAGCTTAGAATACGAAGTTCACTTTTAACAAAATGAATCAATCAAATCAATATGGTTAAGAGCTTTAATCCTAACCACGATAATAAACTATATTTTGATAAGTTCAGATAAGATCAGACATCGTTCTTGCATTTCTAACTCATAATATCATTCCATCGATATCTTGACTAATACGCAGTTAAAAACTATTATGAGAAATATATTGGAAATTGTATGTACAACTACTTAGAAAGAAACGAAATAATGAATTAATCCACTCTCAAATGATGAATGAATGTTCTGTAGCCAAAATACTCTGATTTTAAGGTATTAAACATTGATTATAAATGGTAAGCAGAGATGGATAGTGGCTAGCAGTGGAATCCAGGACGCGCGTCACTTCGTCCTATTTGGGACTCGTCAGCCACTATCCATCTCTGCTTACCATGCTTGTGAATTAAGGCTATATCGAGGCAATACGCACAGTATGCACATATACCTGTTAGAGACTGACCAGTTTCAGTCCTAACACATCGACGGGAAGATTCAAACAAACAACACTAAATGAATTTTATTGATTATAAATCTTAGAAAAACTCATATATGACGTAAAATCAGCATATATATTTAATTTATTCTAAGTTTTAACGATAGATCTTTGATTTAACCTATCTGAATTCATTGAATTTAAAGAATTTCCAGAAGTATACCATTCAGGTAAAGCTATAGTCAACAGACAAATCGACATAGACGAAATTTACCAATCTGTGGTGAAAAAGATCAATGAATCACATGATCTAAGGTCAACTGAACAAAATAGCCTACCGTGATATAAGAACCTGTGAGGATAATCATTTGAAAGCAAAGTCATCAGAGTAGAAATATACATTAGAGACGAGCTTAAAACAGCCGCGACAAGTTTTCAACCAGTTTTGGCCAATCAAAAAATAGTTTTTATAAATGGATAGTCAATAGTAAATAAAACGATAATATTGAAAAGTGTGGACCGATTTTAAGCAATTAATAAATTGATAGATATCTCCTTTAGGTTACTCAGCCTTCAAATAAAAAAAACAACGGTTTATAAATTCGTTGTAGTGAATACTGATTGTACATACTCTTGAAGGGACCTAAACAGATTGTTAAGAATCCCTATATTGATCTTAGTTACAGTTGCGGTTTTTATCGCGAACCTATATCACCTATAAGCTAAAAATTCTTTACAGTGCTATGGATGAATGAATTTCACCAAAAATTATGAGGCTCCGTCTGATGATTAGTCCATCCATAAAATGTGGTACCATGAAGTTTGTTTTTATTTCAGAATGAACAGATTAGGGTTAGAATCTAGCGATAGTGTCAATTTGCCCGTTATATACACAATCTTACACAATCATTTTCATTGTTGTCAACAATGTACAAAGGACATTTTGTTGTTCCTCGTACATGTGATTTGAATTCTGCTCAAAAACCTGACAAGTGCGTTCTCTATTCTAATTGCCCCATGCCTAAAGTATACTTTTACAAGTATCAGAACGAACTGACTGGTAGAAGGAACAAAACTCTCAACTCTACTTAAAACAGGAGATGATGATGTTGTTGTCATTAAACGACGACGTAAGCTTTGCAATGAAACCATTCAACTCAAATAATTGAATATAACCACACAAAACAATCTATATGGACATTGACTAATAAAACAGTAATAATGACCACAAAATCAATTTCAGGCATCGGATAATAGTAATAAGAATGCCGACTAATCAATAAGCAATCTAAATGAACATGCATTAATAGTACTTACCCACTTACTTACTTACTTACGGCTGTTACTCCTCGTGAAAGAGTATAGGCCGCCCAACAACATCTTCCATTAAAATAGTACCTACTTGTAATTAGTATGATGTAAGTGGAAAACAAATAAGAAATACATCATGAATCATACCTGTGAATAATTGATATTTAAATTCCAAGCTGCAAATATAAATTTATGCGCTGGAATTATATCGCCTTCATCCAAAATTAAACATAAATCCGAACATAAACTATTTCCAATCATTGATAATAACGGATTAGAATGATTCTAAAATGAATTAAAAACGTTATCAATGGTAATCAACTTTTGATAGAATAAAAAATAGTAATGGTAGGAAAAAACGTGGAGATACAATCGAGAAACTAGTTTTTGAGACATCGTATAACAAGTGACCTTCTTTTGCAATAATTATGTCTATATATAGTAATATTGTAAGATTACTCTCGCCCCCAAATGCCCTGGTACGGCCAAGAGTGGGGAGAGTCCGCTCTCCCTCTCGAAATGCCCTCACATGGCCACGCGTATATAGCCTCTGACAGGGAAGTCCTACTCACTGCCTTCTCGTGGCACTACTGTTGTTTACGAAATTGAGACAACGAAAAGCGAATATCCGGAGCTCTAACCGGGTCGGTGAGCACGGCGCGTCCGCCTAGAGAAGTTGGAAAACCCTCATTCCAAACAAATGGTGCACATGGGCTCCACGATCCTAAGGGAACATATGGCGTATGAATCAATCGTCGGTCACCGGCTACCATGGGACTGCATCTCCTCACGATGCTCCACTACCTTCTGGGTTATATTTTTAGGTGAAAGGCTCGGGGTGTGGCCCCCTAAGAAAACCACCTGCTTCAGTTTGAGCACCTGGACAGTATCACAGCCCTCATACAAATCGGATGAGATTTGTGTGGCGCACATGTATCTGATGCCCCTTTGTACCAATATTTATGTGTTTAATTAAAATAAGTTTATTCTCATTAATAATATGTTTAAAATGTAATTTATCCACACTTATTACAGTATGTTATGAAGGATGTCAGAATCAAAGTTTTACAACATAGACTAACTTTCCAAGACAACTATCGTAAACCAGGAAGCATTATAGAGTTGTTTCATACAAATGTGAGATTGATTCCTCAGCAGTAATTATTTACAACCCAACCAACGAATAAAGCCAGGACTCTCAAGTCTGACAGTCAAATCAGTGACATGAAGTTCATGGTCACTACAACTGATTGTGGATTTGCATTGCTGAGAATACTCTTACAAAGGTAAACCAGATATACAATGACTCCTCGTTTCCAACAATTAACTTGCTAAAGTCAGTCCATTATGTGAAGTTTCAGATGTGTTTATTTAATTTATACTACTTAAAATATTTAGGTAGTATGAAATGATATGATAATACAATATGAAATAAGGTATCTTCATCAGGTAGTAGCATGCCTAATATCAAGAAAAAAAGGATGTCTCGAAATGTTTCCCCAGTGGAAATAAATTTTGTTTGTGTTGAATCAACACACAAAATCTTAAAATGAAAATCTCAAATTTATTGTTGTATGATCGACTATGCAATTGAAACGAGGTTAAAAAACAATTACAATAAACAAAGGTTTTATTTATTTTATCTAAACACATAAATATTGGTACAAAGGGGCATCAGATACATGTGCGCCACACAAATCTCATCCGATTTGTATGAGGGCTGTGATACTGTCCAGGTGCTCAAACTGAAGCAGGTGGTTTTCTTAGGGGGCCACACCCCGAGCCTTTCACCTAAAAATATAACCCAGAAGGTAGTGGAGCATCGTGAGGAGATGCAGTCCCATGGTAGCCGGTGACCGACGATTGATTCATACGCCATATGTTCCCTTAGGATCGTGGAGCCCATGTGCACCATTTGTTTGGAATGAGGGTTTTCCAACTTCTCTAGGCGGACGCGCCGTGCTCACCGACCCGGTTAGAGCTCCGGATATTCGCTTTTCGTTGTCTCAATTTCGTAAACAACAGTAGTGCCACGAGAAGGCAGTGAGTAGGACTTCCCTGTCAGAGGCTATATACGCGTGGCCATGTGAGGGCATTTCGAGAGGGAGAGCGGACTCTCCCCACTCTTGGCCGTACCAGGGCATTTGGGGACGTCCGTAGTACATGTCGAAGCCACCGAAGTCGGTATTTCAAGATTGTGATACCAATTGAATTATGGTCACTAGGTCGTAACACGCTGCTGAACCTCTAGATTATTAACACCACTGAATGTCATCGGTGATTGAATAAAGAGAATCGCCGGACATCATGAACTCGGAGAGAACAGGTTTCATGAGCATAAAGCAAAACTGCTCTGATCTTCTTGTTGTTACCCGACCTTTCATAGGCAGATTGGTATAAGCTTCTCTGACTTTCACTAAACATAGATTGACCTCTTCAGTCACACAATTATCCAGATATACGAACTTCTCAACTACCCCTAAATGCTCACTACCAAGATAGAGATCATGGATCTAACTTCTCCCAGTCTTCTAAGTACATTTCGCACCCCTATAAGATGCAAAGCACATGGCATACGGACACTGATTGCCAAATAATTAAATGTATTTTTCATAACTTGAGTATTACCACAAAGTAACAGGATACTATAGACAAAACAAAGTGTGAGTAGCATTTTTCGAGGCAACAGATCTACACCACCATTACCTACCTCCATCAAAGCTGTTCCCAGAACGTCATCGATGGCAAATTTGGAGAGGGGAGGTGAGAGTGGTGAACTCTGCCTAATCACACTACTGGAATGGAATAGTCTCGTATTTAATGGTCCGTACCATTGATTTCTAAACTGGACTTACCGAGTGTGACTGTTTGTAACTGTATTGAATAGAGTATCATATAGTGTTGATCTGGTTCTCTATTTTGGGTCGTGAATCCTAGTTCTGATAAAACGTGATTCGTCTTATTAATGTATTAACTTATTATCGTAATATATGTGAGAGTTAAAAAAATTATTTTAAACTTCCGTTATATCATATACCGATTGTACCCTCAAATTCCTGGAGCCTATGTGCACAATTGATTTGGAACCAGTGTTTTCCGATTCTCCCTAGGTGGATCTTTCGTACCCACCAACAGGTTTAAGCGGCGGATGTTTGCTTTTCGACCCCTCGATTTCGTAACCGCCTTCGTCGCATAAAGTGGGTATTACTTACAAGCCCCTTGATTGAAACAGATTGACAAGCATTTTTGAACAGTACACTGAAACAAGATAACTTTTCAAAACTGTTCAAAAAGTGATCGGTCAAACATGAGGTAACTTCAACATAAATTTGACGTGTAGTTATCTCAAATGTATTTTATACATGAGTTCGATGTAAAATAACCTGTATTGGATTCAAAGATATCAGCATCGTTCTATCACCAGCTGCCTTTTATTCATCAGTTTCATTTTCCGAAAAATGAGACACGATTTAGATATAGAATCTCCAAAACTGAGAAACAATTGTTTTGAAAGCATGATGTTGTTATAAAAAAACAATCGAAAATAGCTATTTACAAGCCTGGTTGACATCGTAAGGACCTCCAGTGTCAGCTAATCAGTCTTGAGGCATGACGAGACAGGAAACTGATTCCATTAAACAAATAACTAACAAAATAAGTAATTTAATGTAACATACCAAAAGAAGTGTCGTTAGAAAATAAAGAGATTTGACTGGGACAATGATGGATTTTATTGAAAACGGAATAGTTATTTGCTTAAGAATAGAAATTCAAGGGATATATTAACAAAACAGTATCCAAAAACAACCTACATCAGTCACATATGATGAACACTTGGAAAGGGTATTGGGGGACACTGATGTTAACTCTGATGTACCGCATTTATCTTCAGGTTTAATAGATTGCCTTGGAGATAATTGTTCACACTCCTAATTAAATAAGGAAATAAAATAAAGACATTCAAAGTAAAAACTTTTTCTCTCAAAATAAGTTATTTTGCAAAATTTTGCATTTCTACACTTTGCTCCGATTCAGTATCATAAAAGATAGCAGTGGAATTAGAGATGGGATTTTCATCCAGTTTTTGACGCTGGATATACCTGCAAGCCAGTGTTGATATTCACAATAATATTCGAGTCTAGGGGTCAGATGTTCGAATAACAGGCACTTTTGTAGTGTACTGATAATTAAACAGAATTGAATATCAATACACATGGTTTGTAGATTGTTATTTCGCTAAACAACTAACGTGGTATTTTAAGTCTCGAATCACTAATTGAATTCGGTTAGACAACCATGGAGAACCAAGAAGCATTGGACAGTTGTTTCATTATAGCTCAGGACTTCCCCCAGCAATGAGAACTCACGATACCATCAGGGATTCAAACCCAGACTTCCAGGCCTTGAATCGAACGTTCAATATTCAGACTAGCTGGCTGGTCAACATTTTGAATGTTATGTGGCTATCATCGATTGTTATTGAGTTATTTGTATTTGTTGTGAAGGTTGAATTCGGGATCGTAAATAGTTTTTTTAGAAAAATCAGATGAATATTAGTTTCAAAGGTATTTTAATTTTAAAATTATGAAACAAATTATGACTCTTAATAAATTCTAGAGAGTCAATGTAAACAACTTTGCACGTATTGAAGTTTTATACCGCCCTCAAAGATATAGTATCCCTAATTGAACTCAGCTGTGTTTATTCGTAAATACATACTTACTTACGACTGTTACTGCCGACGGAGCATAAGCCGCCGACCAGCATTCTCCAATCCACTCTGTCCTCGGCCTTCCTTTCTAGTTCTATCCAACTTTTGTTCATTCTTCTCATGTCTGTCTCCATTTCTCAGCGTAATGTGTTCTTTGATCTTCCTCTTCCCCTATGGCTTTCAGGATTCCAAGTGAGGATTTGCCTTGTGGCACAGTTGTGTGATTTCCTCAATGTGTATCCTATCCACTTCCAGCCCTTATTCCTGATTTCTTCCTCCGCTGGAATCTGGTTTGTTCTATCTCACAGTATAATGTTGCTGATAATGTCTGGCCAACGGATCTGAAGTACTTTGTGTAGACAACTATTATTAAACACCTGTATCTTTTGGATGATGGCCTCCGTAGCTCTCCAGGTCTCCGCCACATACAGTAGAACTGTCTTGACATTTGTATTGAAAATTCTTATCTTAGTGTTGGTTGACAGTTGTTTTGAGTTCCATATGTTCTTCACTTGTAAATACGCTGCTCTTGCTTTGTCGATCCGTGCCTTCACGTCTGCATCAAATCCAACGTATTCATCAATGATGCTGCCCGGATATGTAAAGGTTTTTACATCCTCCAAAGCTTCTCCGTCAAGTGTGATTCGATTGGTGCATGTTGTGTTGTATCGGAGAATCTTGCTTTTCCCTTTGTGTATATTGAGACCTACTCCTGCTAAGGCTGTTTCTACACCGGTCGTCGTCTTCTGCATTTGTTGTTGCGTTTGTGATAGAAGAGCCAGATCATCTACGAAGTCTAGATGGTCCAACTGCATCCTAGTTGTCCACTATATCCCGTGCTTCCCTCCAGATGTTGATTTCTTCATAATCCAGCCGATCACCAGGAGAAAGAAAAAGTGTGAAAGTAAGCAACCTTGTCTAACACCGGTCTTCACCTCGAACGAGTCTGTCAACTGTCCTCCATGTACGATTTTGCAGTTTAATTTATCATAGCAATTCCGTATGATACTGACTACCTTATCAGGCACGTTGTAGTGTCGAAGAGGCCTCCATAATGTTGCCCTGTTGACACTATCAAATTCTTTCTCATAGTCAATGAAGTTGATGTAGAATGATGATTGTTCCACAAAGATCCGTAGAGTTGCGATTTGGTCTGTACACGATCGATCCTTAAGGAATCCAGCCTGTTGGTCTCGAAGTTGGGCGTCTACGGAGCCGTTCATTCTGTTTAACAATACCCTGTTGAAGACTTTTCCTGGTATTGAGAGGAGAGTGATGCCCCTGTAGTTATCACACTTGCTGAGATCTCCTTTCTTTGGTATGTTGATCAGAAGTCCTTCTTCCCAGTCTGTTGGTACTTGTTCTTCATCCCAAACGTGGAGTATCTTTGCAGTTTCTGCTACATCTGCTTTCAGTGCCTTTTCTGGAATATGGTTTGGTCCCACTGCTTTGCCGCTCTTGATTTGTCTGATGGCCATGTTGATCTCTTCAATTTTTGGTGGGCCAACATCGATTGGGAAGTTCGTGGGTGCTACTTCGATGTTGGGTGGGTTCAGTGAAGCTGATCGACTAAAGAGTTCTACCCACCTGTTTTATTGTTCTTCAATGTTGGTGATTACTTTGCCTTCCTTGCTTTCCACTGGTCGTTCTAGTTTACGGCAATTTCCAGCGAGTTTCTTTGTTGTAGCATACAATTGTCTCATGTTTTCTTCTCTTGCAGCCTTTTCCGCCGCCATTGCTAAATCTTCCACATATTTACGTTTGTCGGTTCTGATGCTCCTCTTCACTTGCTTGTTTGCTTCTGTGCGTTTAGTTTGTACCTTGAATTTCTCTGTTCTTGTTCGGCTGATATTAATTGCTGTCTTCTTGCTCCTCCTTTCTTCAATCTTATCCAGTGTAGCAACAGTGATCTATTCATTGTGATGGTGCTTCTTGTTGCCCAGAACCTCATCACGTGTTGAAGTGATTGTCTCTTTTATCCCTTCCCAGTTGCTCTCCATAGTCGTTCCCTCTCCAATGAGTAGATCATGAAAGGCCTGGTACTTAACGTTGAGGGCTATCTTGAATTTGTTGAGTTTGTCTGCATCTCAAAGAAAAACCGTATTAAACTTTTGTGATGTTGTCCGCGCCGTTGTCCAGTGCTTTTTAAGTTTTAGTTTCATCTTGGCGACCAGCAAATGATGATCTGATGCTATATCAGCTCCTCTCCTGGTTCTCACATCCTCCATCGTTCTCCTGAACTTTATGTTGATTCAGATATGGTCAATTTGGTTCTGCACAGTGTGATCCGGTGAAGTCCAAGTGCTTTTGTGAATGCATTTGTATGGGAATATAGTGTCACCTATGACCAGTTTATTGAAGGCACATAGGTTTGCAAATCTCTCACCATTTTCGTTCCTTTTTCTCAGTCCATGTAGTCCCATGACGTCTACATATCCGGTGTTGTCCATTTCAATCTTTGCATCTAAATCTCCCATCAGAATGGTCAAGTCCTTTGTTGGGCACTTCTCGACGATTGACTGCAGCCTATCTTAGAGTTGATCTTTAACGTCTTCATTGTAGTCGTTGGTAGACGCATAGCATTGGATGAAGTTCATTGTAATACCCTCTCACTTTGTTTTGAAAGAGACTTTGATGATCCTTGGTCCATGAGATTCCCATCCAATAAGTGCATTTTGTGCTTGTTTGGAAAGCATCAATGCAACTCCTTGTGTATGTGGGGCATTTTCTTCTTCATGGCCGGAGTATAACAGAAGCTCCCCTGAAGATGGTCGTTGTTGTCCAACCTGCGTCCAATGTATTCCACTGATCCCAAGCACCTCCAGGTTGTATTTCCTCATTTCTGCAGCAATTTGGATGGCTCTCCCTGTCTCCCACATTGAACGAACATTACATGTACCTAAATTAATAGTTACTCTGGTTGTCAGAAGGGGCATCAGCGTCGTGGCTTTCGAAAGAACTCAGATTTCACCATGAGGCGTCATAACTCTTCTAAATGCAGACCTTCTGACTCCCAGGGCAGAGTTTAAATGGTTTGAATTATTTTTTCTGGTTAGCGTTTTTTAGCGAGTTAGTTTTCTACAAAATGGAGTCGCTAATCCCATTCTCAACTCTCCTCCTTTATCCGGGCTTGGGACAGGCAGTAGCCCCCGGAGGGGTTACAGGCAAAGTTCTGTTCGTTAATAGGTTGGATTAAAATTTCCAAATTTTGACGTTGTTCAAGGTTACTCTCGTAACGCTTATATATCTACGAATAAAGCAAGAAATTCGTTGACAATAAACATTAAAACAACACTATAAACACAAACACAGCGATAACAACTAAACATAGTTTCAATTATTTCCCACCTTTTTCGAAAAATCACAATGATCCTCTTTGTATTCATCCATGGTAGTTACGCTAGATTCAGATTTCATTTTTTTATGAATTGAAACACGGCCAGGTATTTGTGACATTGAAATAATATTAGAATTTAAAGAATTTAATGTGGGACTCAAGGGTGGGATCAATTTATTGACATAGTACATTTGTGTAATACTATCTAAAACATTGGAAATAATAATAATATTGGTAATAATAATAGTAATAATAATAATAATAATAATGGTAATAATTGTAATGATGTTGCTACGAAAAGAGTACTGAAAACGTAGTAACTCTCAAAACTATCTTACGGACTGCTATTACATATACTCTTAGTGCATAATTATGAAATAACTGGATTTCCATAACTCTGTATTCGCCCTATAGTAAGCTTCTAGTGAACCTAATTAAATCTTACTGTACGTCATACGATCGTCAAATTACAGTCAAATAACAATTCACCTTCTACTTATGGTTCAGTTATACCTGTACTGTAATTTCGTATTCATTTTGATGTGTGTGGTAAGGAAATTGATCTATATTATTGTTTGAAATGATTCCCGTAAGATATACTGCTCGTTATGTTCTATTATCGGACCTAAAACCGGGCTAAAAGAGCATATGTCCCAAGCTAATAGAAGCTAAGATTTATCTTGGCTCAGATTCAAAGTTCACTTTGCCATTCGGAGCATATAATTCGTTAAAGCTTAGGATGTCAGATAATAGCTGAAAATAGTACAAGTGGAGTAGAGAAATATCTCTGGAATTTGGATTAACCAATTCTTTGTAGATATCGCTCAACCCACCACAGTTAAAACTAATAACAATAATCATAATAATAATGAGATGATGAAGTTAGAATATTTGCGTATAGAAAAAATATGAACCTTAATTACCAACATCATGAAGTTTCGTCGATGCTAAATTCCATAGATTAGACTGGACACTTGAATTACTATTATTATTAGTAATGTTATTACTATATTCTTTTTCAAGCTTGTTAATTCGTTTAACCTGTTATTTTTCAATAAACAAGAATGAAAGGATACAAATAAGCATGAAATAATCATTAAATATTAACTAAGATGATATATGAATAAAATATACCTAGAGAATTATTGAATAGTTACCCGACCGTTGCTACTACCATGACGTGGTGGTCGGGCTTGACTATCGTGATAAACCAATCGAGCTATACTGACTGGAACAATCGTTCCTCAAGGTCCTATCATGCCAGGCAGGTCGGTTGAAGAGCGGTAAGACTAAAAGCAGCAAACCCAAGGTCCGAAGGCGAAGTCGTACTACTCACTGTACAGAGGTGTGACAGCACTAAGGTGTTTCCTTCAGACAACCAGCATCTGCAACGATGCTGCCTTCCCACAAGGAGGGGTGGGGTTAGAAAAGGTCAGCCCTAAAAATGCACACCTCGCCTTATCTCACGGATATCCGTCTCCAGTGGTAAGGTCTCAACAAGTACGGAGCTAACACAAAAACTACCCACAAAAAGGTCGTGTGTGACCGACCTCAAGCAGTTGTCCTTTGGACACTGCGGTCACGCTCTCAGGTCATTAAGACCACTTCTAACCGATTACCACAACGCGCTATGCTGACTAGTGTAGGAGATGGTTGGAAGAAAGTTAGGAGCAGCCAAACCAAAACATGGCATCAGTGCTTGAAGTCACTAACTCCCAGTCTGAGCCATGTTGGCAGATGCAGGCTACTTGGTTGGGGTCCGCGTGACTATCGTAACCAATGGTTGGAGACTCTAGGTGACATGGCTCAGAACCGATCACAATGGCGCAGGTGTATGCACTCTTTATCTTCCCTTAAACCTTGAGATTAAAATTGCTTCATAACTTTCTTCATTCCTATACTATATCCTTATACACAATTTATCTTTTATATACTACCACCATTAGATTAATTACTTCTATGAATCCGGTGTTGATCTTGTTGTGCTAACGAGGTATGGCAACTTGGACCGATGCATATGTGTGCCTGGTCCTACGTTATAGCTGACTGACTGATTGAGAGAATTATTGAAAGGTAAGTTTTTTATAGTGGTTAATCTATTCGACTGTTAATCGATTAAGTTGCAGGTTCGAACTCTGTTTCAACTACGTTAGTTTGACTATTAAATCTCCCACATGTACAAAAGATGTGAGATCTAAAGTGGAGTACATACATCCATATTTGTAAATTAGTTAATTCATGTCATATTAATATTAAGATAAAACCAAAATACACAAAATCTGAATAACTTCTAAAGTGACATTGGAAGTTTAAAGATCTATGTTGTCCCATGAACAAATCGATAGATTGAAGTAAGAGTTTATTACTAGTATAGATAGTTTATGAAACTGTTCAGTTTCTTTTAATTTACAACATGGACTAACCTTGGCTAGAGAAACATTAGATACAAAGAAGCATTGAAGCGATATTTCGTTCTAGTACATGGTTTTTAGAATTGCCCATCCACAACTCTAAAGATTTTCAGACCTTGCGCACAACATTTAATCTACGTATAACTGAGTTGGCATCCAATGGTTTACATTTCCGACTCTACATAATTCTTCATATTGTACAACTATCACTCATTGTTATTAGTGATATCTTTGTAATAACCAGCAAGTCTAAATTCCATAGGTATTATGAAGGTTAAGCACTAGCCAGTATATGTGGAAGATACTTATTTTGTTGCTCAATGCCCTGGTACGGCCGAGAGTGGGGAAGGCCTGCCCTTTTTCTCGAAATGCTCTCACACAGCCACGCGTATATAGCCCCTGCAAGGGAAGTCTTACTCACTGCCTTCTCACAGTGACGGGGTGTTGTTTACGAAATTGAGAGGATGAAAAACGAATGCCCGACGCTCTAACCGGGTTGGTGGACACGGAAAGTTCACCTAGAGGAGTTGGAAAACCCTCATTCCAAACCAATCTCCACATGGGATTCAGTATCCTGAGGGAACAAATGGCGTATGAATCAATCGTTGGTCACCGGCCAGCATGGGACTGCATCTCCTGAAGATGCTCCACTGTCTTTGTAGACCAGACCTTTAGGTCAAAGGTTCCGGGTTCGGCCTCCTAAAAAACCACCTGCTTTAGTTTGGGCACCTGGGCAGTATCACAGTCCTCACACAAATCAAATTAGATTTGTGTGGCACACATGTATCTGGTGCCCCGTTGCACCAATATTTATGTGTTCAAATAAATAAATAAATGATAATTGTTTCCTGTCAAACTCTTCATCCACATAAGGTAAATCTTCTTAGTTCAAAGAAAAATAATTTTCATATTGAGTGAACTGTACAAGTGATGTTTTCATTTACCTATTCATTGATGATACGGTCTTTCTGTCTTATTTTTTCAAAGTATCATCATACCCCTGTTTCTTAAAACGTTTATGAATTATAATACAATCTTTCATCGATTTCATCACCAAACGAGGATTATCTCTCACCAAAGTTTAAAAAAAGTTTTTCATAATTTTGATTCCAAACAGTTAGATCAGTTAGGGTCATCAAGTAAATTACCTCAAGAAGAATGGATTCCAACTTTTCAGCTAATATTCTTTCACGTTGTTCACTTGATAAAAGTAAATGAGACGGTGAATCTAAATCGATGGGATCAATTTTTGTAGCTAGAATCGCTTCAGATTTTCTTTGCTTCATTTCTTCATCTATGGATAAAGATAATGCACAAGCTGTATGTAAGTCTTCATTTTCACGCCTGAAAAATATAATGAATATTATGAACTACTTACAAAGTACTTAGTATAACAATTTATTTAGGAACATTTTAGTAAAACCATTGATCCCATCCAATCTTATAAGTAAAATGTATACAAAAAGATCACTTAACCGATAGACCACTGAGCCGGCATCCGATGGTGTCTATGTCTAACTTCAATCAATTGACTCACGCTTTCAAATATGAAAATACTAAATCTAGACAAAAATAACCCTTCCGATAATATACAAAAAGTGCTGTTATGCAGACATTTATGATAAAATCGATTATCTTGTTGGTACAAAACAACACTAATATCTGAGTATCAATCAAAAGATGAATATACTGTAAAGAAGTTTACTTTGGTTCACATAATAGCTGTTGAACACAGAATACAAAAGAACAAGACATAATAATATACGTTAATACTTGAACGAATGGTTTGACAAAAATAGGGTACGGCATATATATAGAAGACATATTTGTAAGAACTTTATTGGAAATAATTTCAATGATTGAAGAGGTCTATACAAGTTTGTTAGACGAAACAATGGAATTATTTAATTTTCAATCGTTAAAACAATTTTAAATATAATTTTTTTTATAAATAAAGTAGAAGACTGTTATGATTATCTTTCTGTCTATAGTTATGAACTATGAGTTCACTAGCGCAGCTAGTTACTGTACACGTTAGAAGTTCGACAGCACAAACAATATTCTCATACGTTCCCCCCAAACTATTAATCAAAACAATATAGAACCACATAAACTTGAGTGCTGTTAGAGGTATGAGGGCAGTTATCACTTCCCGGTTGCCAACACCGTGGAAAGGTTCTTCTAGAGGTACCTGAAAAGGAAATTGGGTTAGAAATGGTCTTAATGACCTGAGAGCGTGACCGCAGTGTCCAAAGGACAACTGCTTGAGGTCGGTCACACACGACCTTTTTGTGGGTAGTTTTTGTGTTAGCTCCGTACTTGTTGAAACCTTACCACCGGAGACGGATATCCGTGAGATAAGGCGAGGTGTGCACTTTTAGGGTCGACCTTTTCTAGCCCCAGCCCTCCTTGTGGGAAGGCAGCATCGTTGCAGATGCTGGTTGTCTGAAGGAAACACCTTAGTGCTGTCACACCTCTGTACAGTGAGTAGTACGACTTCGCCTTCGGACCTTGGGTTTGCTGCTTTTAGTCTTACCGCTCTTCAACCGACCTGCCTGGCATGATAGGACCTTGAGGAACGATTGTTCCAGTCAGTATAGCTCGATTGGTTTATCACGATAGTCAAGCCCGACCACCACGTCAAGGTAGCACCAACGGTCGGGAACCATATAAACACTTTGTATTATTCTGTACTACTCACTTTTTTTGGATTCAAGTGATTGTACATAGAAAATAGATGACACTATATATAAATAAATCTCAATATGTACAAAACTTGTACATTCCTTACATAAAACGGAGTAACAGGTTGATATGTTTGAAGCTAAATCGATTCCGCGGTAACGAACGAAAGCCAATGACACAATGACACGATAAGCTATTCTAATCTGTTGTCCCAGGCCCCGCTAACTAGATGAAGAAGTCCAAGGCAAGTAGGGGAATATATATGTATTCCGTAAGCAGCCGAGTACAAGCAATCGAATAAGGGAAAAAGTCAAGCGCATTTATACAGCAACAATTTGTCCGTGAGCATCATTAGTAAATAGCACACACAAAGAAACAATGGACCAATAGCGTATAAGATAGTTTACAAGTGGGAAATATGACGTGAAGGTAAAAAGAGCGCGTTTGGCGCGAAAACAGCTAAATTCAAATTTTCAAAATAAAATTACAAAACTAAGCCATTTACCAAGTAAGTTCTGGGGATTTGACATCCCCAACACAGGTATATGATTAATTTATTGTGACTATGCAAATTTGGATCTCTTTAAAATTGAATTCTAGAATACCACTGTACATCGATAATGTAGAAAATTCGACTAACGTCAAACTATGTGTTACAACTGTCTATGACAGTAATATATCTAAAAATAAAACTTTTCAAGTGAATAAAGAGTTTGAGTGGGAACCGTGGACTAAAAGGATATTAAATGCTTACGACAGTTATCGGCCTTTTTTCCGATGAAAAAGAACGTATACGGTCTCGACTGCTTCCTGATTCCTTACCAACTATATATATTGAGAGGAAGTTAAAAAGAAAAATAGCTTGTGGTACTGTCAAAGAACAACATCTGTAAAATATAATTATTTACCTGATGAAACGATGATCTCGACATGATAATGACATGAGACTAAATAAATCCATGTTTAACTTGGAGGCACACCGTTTTAAATGTGTTCGAGATGTCTAGAAATGAGTAACAAGAAATGTAGTTTGATTAATTCCAATATTATATGTATATTAGATCACTTACATCAATATGGATACACAAAAATGCGAACGAAGCCCTATATAAGGGATCACGATGATCACAATCCTTAGGTACAGTAATAATAATATTACTAACAATAAATTTTTGGCTCAATGACAAGATTGGACTTGATAGTTTCAAATAAATTGATCATTGTGTTAAACTAAATTATTAATTTTTTTCATATCTCAATAAGTAAGAAAATCGTATTTTCGACGTTTCGTAACTTAATGTGAGCCACTACTTCAAAGTAAATGAATAATAATAATAATAAGTACAATTTGAAATTGTGTTTAATTCGGTTATTTATTTACTCTGAAGAAGTGGCTCACATTAAGTCAAGAAACGTCAGAAATACAATTTTTCTATTCATTGGGATATCAGAAGGGGTTTTTTGTGGATATTATAGTAATTTTAATAGTAGAGATCATGAGTCAATTGAAGCTAGATCACCATGGAAAACCTGGAAGCACTGGACGGCCGTTTCGTCCTATTGACTAACGATCTCAACTATTCAAATTACTATAATATCCAAAAAATCTGATATTATTCAACATATGCTCACTAGTGACTGGCTCCAAGAGATATTTCCTGGAGCTCTAGTGAGAAGCGATGACCAGTAGAGTTAAATCGGGTCTGTTGTGAGATAGTAACTCACTGAAGACAATGGGTGGATGTGTCGCCCAATATCGTGGATTAGTTGAAGTTATACATTTATACCGTTGGATGTCGACTCAGTGGTCTAGAGGTTAAGCGTTCGCTCTAGAGACCGATAGGTCTTGGGTCGGAATCTCGCGAGGTGGTATCGTGGATGCACACTGTTGAGGAGTCCTACAATAGGACGAAACGGACATTCAGTGCTCCAAGGTTTTCATTAGGATAAAACAAAAAAACACACATTAATAACTTTTTAATTAAAAAAGAGAATGAAACTTACTCGACCAGCAATCTGTTTGTGACATGCAGGACACCGATGACAATACATGATCTATATTTAAATTAGTACCATATGAATTGGAAAGTAAGAATCCAGGACAAACTTACAAATGTTTCACAACAAGTATTTTTATGAAGATTTCTTCGTTCTGAATTCCATGTTTGCATATCTATGCTGCACATAGGACATTTATTGTCGATAAGATTGTTTGAAGTGAGCATTTTGTCTAGGACAAAAGATTTTAAATCAAATGATAATTATCGGTATAAAAAACGAAAGGTTCTAAAAGGCAATATAAGCTAACCTTACTCCCACTCATTTCCAGTGTCTACAGTGAGGTTTGGAAAGTACGGGGGTAATGTATTGAGAATGACTTGCAAAAATGCCACATTGAACCACACTTAAGCAACTCTCCCTTGAGGTCCGTGATCACTATTGTAGGTCAACAGGTCGACTAGAAACCAAAAATCGTTTTTAGATACTTTAAAAAGAAATATCCTCCAGCAGTATGAACGGCTGATAAGCGTCAACCATGCAAACACCTTTAATTCGATGGTGCAAGATGGTGTTTCATTATACTAACTTCCTACCCATGAATAATGAAACACTAAACAGACTTGATTCAGTTTGCTATGGCGGCTTTACAAGAAAATCTCCCTACGAAGTACCCTGTTATTTACAGCCACGTTCCTTTAATTTTATTTGGAGAAAACATTTCTCAATTAAAAAATTTTAAATCATTACTTTCCGCTGTAAACGTTGACATTAAAACTTAGCTATATGGATCGTGATTGACTTTATGTAAGTTAACATATGGATGTTCTTAACAGATGAACACAAATCTAATCCGAGTCATTATTTTTATTTAAACACATAAATATTGGTACAAGGAAGCACCAGATAAATATGCGCCTCACAAATCTCATTCGATTTGTGTGAGGGCTGTGATACTGTCCAGGTGCACAGACTGAAGCAGGTGGTTTTCTTAGGGGGCTACACCCCGAGCCTTTCACCTAAAAATATAACCCAGAAGGTAGTGGAGCATCGTGAGGAGATGCAGTCCCATGGTAGCCGGTGATCAACGATTGATTCGTACGCCATTTGTTCCCTCAGGATATTGGAGCCCATGTGCACCATTGGTTTGGAATCAGGGTTTTCCAACTCCCCTGGTACGGCCGAGAGTGGGGAGAGTCACCTCTCCCTCTCGAAATGCTCTCATATGGCCAGCGAATATATAGCCTCTGTCAGGGAAGTCCTACTCACTGCTTTCTCGTGGCGGGGGTGTTGTTCACGAAAGTGAGAGGACGAAAAGCGAATGTCCGGCGCTTTAACCGGGTTGGTGAACATGGAAAGTTCACCTAGAGGAGTTGGAAAACCCTGATTCCAAACCAATGGTGCACAAATGGCGTACGAATCAATCATTGATCACCAGCTACCATGGGACTGCATCTCCTCACGATGCTCCACTGCCTTGTGGACTAGACCTTTAGGTCAAAGGCTCCGGGTGTGGCCCACTAAGAGAACCACCTGCTTCAGTCTGAGCACCTGGGCAGTATCTCAGCCCTCACACAAATCGAATGAGATTTGTGAGGCGCATATTTATCTGGTGCTTCCTTGTACCAATATTTATGTGTTTAAATAAATAAATAAAAACTCCCCTAGGTGGATCCTCCATATCCACCAAATCGGTTAAAGCGCCGGACATTCGCTTTCCGTCCTCTCAACTTCGTGAACAACACCCCCGCCACGAAAAGGCAGTGAGTAGGACTTCCCTGGCAGAGGCTATATATTCGCTGGCCATATGAGAGTATTTCGAGAGGGAGAGGTGACTCTCCCCACTCTCGGCCGTACCAGGGCATTTGGGGGCTAGACCACCATCGAAAACTTAGAAGCACTGGACGGCCGTTTCGTCCTATTGTAGGACTCCTCAACAGTGTGCATCCACGATACCACCTCGCGAGATTCCGACCCAAGACCTATCGGTCTCTAGAGCGAACGCTTAACCTCTAGACCACTGAGTCGACATCCAACGGTATAAATGTATAACTTCAACTAATCCACGATATTGGGCGACACATCCACCCATTGTCTTCAGTGAGTTACTATCTCACAACAGACCCGATGTAACTCTACTAGTCATCGCTTCTCACTAGAGCTCCAGGAAATATCTCTTGGAGCCAGTCACTAGTGAGCATATGTTGATTAATATCAACTTTTAGAGATATTAGGTGACGGAAATTGAAAAAAAAGAAAAACTGAGGCTGCATAGGATTGCTTTTAATTTTATGTATACTAATTTTGATACATGTACTCTATTTTCTAGAAAATTTAAACATCCTAAGATCTATAGTGTGGCGCTACAAATTATTTTGAGTCTGAATAATACAAATCAATGGCCAATAAAACTCACGTTTGTAAAATCAATAAATATTTTGTTATTTAAGTCAAAAACTGTAAAGCAACGTTACGATATAAAACTTAGTTTAAATATAATAATTTAATTCCCACAAAACATTTTCGCATTACTCTCAGTGCTTACTAATGTACTGGTGTGGCAGAGGATGGCGAAATTCCGCTCTCACTTTCGAAATACTATCATATTTTGAAGTTCGAATTCCATGCGACAATCATGGTCGATAATTGAAGAACTTAGACGACATGGTTCAAAATGGCTTAATTAGTGCAGATATGATCATTTTTTATGACAGAATTCCCAATATGGACGAGCTGCTGTATGAGTTGAAAAGTAAAACAATACACAAAATGGGAATAAAGGGGAATAGACAAGTGACTCAATATAAAATAAGAATCAATGTTACCAAATAATTGTTAATACGATTTGCGAGAATGGTAATTGGAGCGAGAATATTTTTTCAGTTGTAACCATTATTAAGTTTGTGCGTGGGGTAGGATACTGTTCGGGTACCAAGACTGAAGCAGGTGGTTTTCTTAGGCAGCCGCACTCGGAGCCTTTGATCTACAGGTCTAATCCACGAGGCAATGGAGCAACTTCAGAAGATGCAGTCCCATGGTAGCCAGTGACCAACAATAGGTTCATACGCCTTTCGTTCCCTCAAGATCCTGGAGCCCATGTGCACCGTTGGTTTGGAATCAGGGTTTCCCAACTCCTATAGGTGGATCCTCCATATCCATCAACCCGGTTAAAGCGCCGGACATTCACCTTTTGTCTTCTGAACTTCACAAACAACCCCCACCCGTCGCGAGAAGGCAGTGAGTAGGACTTCCCTATCAGTAGCTGTATACGCGTGGCCATGCGAGACCATTTTGAGAGGGAGAGCTGACTCTCCTCATTCTCGGTTGTACCAGGGCATTTGGGGGTACTGGAAATCAAGATCAAAAGATACGGAGTGGAGGTATATGAACTATTGTGAACAACTCCGAGCTATATTATTATGCGAGTTTACTGATTGAAGCGCATCTAATCACAGATTTTAGGATACTGTCATTAACTAACCAGTTGGGCAAAGAATATAACACTTGCCATCTACATCAGCCCACAAAACATCGACAAAAAAAGATACAACTAGCAAGAAGCATATTAAAGTGGTTAACACAATATTAATATTTATGACTGTTAAAGTGATTAAAAATGAGATCGAAGCAGCTGATTGATTACTGATTTTGATCAAGAAAGTCTTGATACTCACATTCTGTAGGCGAGTTTAAACGAATAATTTCTCACTTAATGAATGGTTTTTCTTCATGTTAGAGAATAATACAAGGTTGTAAACTAATAAATAAAACTAACAAATCTGATCTATTAGAGGAAGTACCGATAAGAAAACTTTTTTTATGAGGTCAGGAAAGCATGTAAAAATATGAAAGCATGCCTTGGAAAAAGACATGACCTTTTCAAAAGAATAAAAGTAAGGTAGAGTGTTGAGTAGGATAAAACAGTGATACATTGAAATAGATTATAAAATATATATCGAGTTGATTACTACTTAATACTCAAGAGCGTGAAGAAATGTTACTTGATACTTTTGTGCAATAGATTTGCCGAATATCACTCCAAGATAGAACCTCTAGAAAAAATATGGACAATTTTAACTAGTCACAGACGGAGTAATAACCAGCTTCCTTATTCAAAATATCAAGGAGCTGAACAGTGATAGTATACGTGTACTTTTGAAGTGTTAGTGCTGCAAGGAGTGACAAGATTTCGCAGATCCTACCGGGGCTCGTTTACGTGTGAGTACTCAGAGGGCAACATTTCAACTACTTACGTTTTTAAAGCAATTAGTCTTCGACTACAGCTTTCGCATAACAGTGGAGTTTTAGCCTATTTTTGTTAGTCATTCAAAGCTATGTAAGGCCTAGACCAGCTGTGTAGATCAAGACAGCTACCACTAATAATAATCAACTCTCAATTCACTAAATTACTTTAGACGTGAGGTTTCACTTGAGAAAAACTAACTAATTTTCTTTGGTTTAGAAATTATCACTGTATTTTTAGTTATTTGTCAGTAGGACACTGAATGAATTTTCTGGGTCTAAGGCGAATACAAATTTTGTAAGAAAAGACCTACGATGTAGAAACCCAAACAAGAAAAATTGTGTTTGTAGAAATTGGCAATAACCGCACTTCATTGCTCTTTTAGCTCTAACTACAATAAAGCACCATATGTACTCGCGGTGCAACTTTCTACCTGAATCCTAGTCCAATCATGACTACTAAAGTTGCATTAGACGGGCCTGGGGATTACCAGTTCGCATACTACACTTAGTACTGCTACTTATTACAACTGACGTCATGATCCAAATAGTTGAAGGACGGCTAAACACTAAGTTAAATAAGAAAGTATTTGAGGATTACATAGAGCAATTTAAAATTTGGTACATAATTAGGAAAGATAGCAAGGAGTGTAAAACTGCAGCTTATTTCCTCATATTCACCGGTAAAAATGTAAAGATAAACATATTCCATCGCTTTACGAAAACTTCATAGGGCTAATTCTCAGCCATATGGCATAAAGCAATTTTTAATCTAGAGAAAGGTCTAAATTACATAAAATAGTTCCATAAAGCGATCACAAAATCAGGGATTTCATATTTGAACTCCGAAAACAGGCCAAGAAATATAATTTTGGAGGTCAACTTCACATTTAAGTCCGTAATCGTTCAATTGCTGGAATTAGCACTCCGAAATTGACAAAGGAATACATTCAAAAGCCTAAGGGGTCATTTCAGATTAAATCACCCAATACTGATTGAGACAGCATATGAACTTGATTTCCATTCGGTGTAAATTTTTATGTTTCTCAGTTTTCGTGATAAACAACTCCTTCAAAGTCGTCTAAATTTGTGCTTAATTAGTGACGAATGTCATTCTTGCGGAATCCGAAGATAAAATTCGTCAAAGAATCTGCAGGCAATACATCAAGATGAGTAAAAGTTTGGGTAATGTATATCTTAGTGTAAATTTTACTCGCGAAAATCATGTCTTTTTCGTAATCCTGAGTACTTTAAATATTTATTTAAACACATCAACATTGGTACAAGTAATTACCAAATATACATACACCACATATTCGATTTTTCAGAGGGCTGAAATAGTGGTTTTGAGTGCTGTTAGAGGTATGAGGGCAGTTATCACTTCCCGGTTGTCCACACCGTGGAAGGGTTCTTCTAGAGGTACCTGAAAAGGGAATTGGGTTAGAAGTAGTCTTAATGACCTGAGAGCGTGACCGCAGTGCCTAAGGGCTGAAATACTACCAGGGCACCCAAACAGAAACAAATGGTCTTCCTGGGGGTCACACCCCGAGCCTTTGACCTAGAGATTTAATGTAGCAAGACTGAACTCAATAATTTTGCGTTGCTTGTGATAACATCATAATCCTAATTGAAGTAATAAGGTTGACCCCAATGATTACATGTTATTCTTTTTTATAACCTCAAATAATCTACCTGACATTTGAAAACGACCACAAGTGCTTAATATTCCATCTTTATTGTTGACACTAAAAGTATCAAATTTATTTCAATCGACAATTTGTAGTCACTGGATTCCGATGCTGTAATTAAAGTTTTTAATCTCAGTACTCACGGGCGTACATTTACTAATCGTGAAAGTTGTGATTCGCTGATTAGAAGTGACAATCCTTTATTATTGAGCTGCGAATTTCTGATCAGTAATAGTGGATCACCTACACTATAGTTAAGCAATTTAAGAATGACTCAAGTACAACTTTCCTCAATGAAGACTGGTCAATCTGATAAATTAAATAGAAACTTAATTAATTCAACTTTGAAGCGTGATTTATTTACTTTTCCTAGACGATTCTACTCTGTCTGTGCGAAAAAAGTTTTCTAAGATTTCGAGAACTCATATCAATCCCAAATCTGCTACAAAATTTAGAAAACTGGAGAGGAGAAAAAGAAGTTCCGCCGTACATGAATGACAAAGTAGCCACAAAAATAAATTTCCTAGAACTAACAAAAGCATCTCTGTGTTTGAATATCAACTGCTTACAGTCTACAGAAGTTAAAAACCGTCATGGAAACGGTATCGAACCATCCATAGGAAATTCGTAGAAAAATATGGACAAATCTACGATACCTACGCTAAGTGTTGATAATCCAATCGGAAAGATTACCAGGACCTAGATCAGTCCATTCTAATTTTTGTTCCTAATTCCAGTACCTATAGGCTAGTTTTAGGTAATCAGGAAATTAACCTCTATGGTCTAACACATTTAATGAACCCGCTCAGAAGACGTACAACAAACTACAGAAACCAGGACTTCTATTTAATAAACCCAACACTAAGTACGGAAACCCATCAAGAGTAAAGAGAATTGGAATATAAGTCCGACTGAATAAGGAACTTAGACTTGGTAATAAATCAGTCAGTCAGTTACGACGTAGGACGAGGCATATATATGCATCGGTCCAAGTTGCCATACCTCATTAGCACAAGACCAACACGGAATTCATAGAAGTAGTTAATTTAATGGTGGTGATATATAAAAGGAAGATTGTACATAAGGATATAGTACGAGGAGAAAGATATGAAGCAATTTTAAGCTTATCGTTTAAGGGAAGACAGAGTGTATATACCGACGCCATTACGACCCAAAAACTAATAATAATAAAATCATGAGTGGAAGCATACCAACAAACCACTTCGGTTCTGTGTTAAATTCATTCTTGAACGATAGCCGATGCCAGTTCGTGATGAAAACTCCTATAAACCATATATACTGTTCGTCACTCCTGATGACACTATTTATCTATTATGGTTTTACTAACTCCATCACAAGTCGTTCCATGACCGAAAACTGTTTCCTCATCGGCTAAAAAGTAGTCGAAATTGTTCACATACTTTCACCAACTCGTGGACGAAAATATGTTGATTGAGTAAACCCATATTGAAAAATTAGTATCAGGCTTGTGAGAGACAGTGATATAATATCTGCCTTAATAACCACACATGGTTTCAACAAGCTTAACATCGGAAGCCATTCTGTGAGAAAATAGAACCCACAAGTCTTAGTAACGTCGTAACTGTATTACCGCCAATGCAAAAATAGTTCAGATGGTTCAAATAGTTGTGGACGGAATAGAAGAAGCTTTAGCTTAACGGGTTTCAGTATCTATTAGTAGTGGATCGCAGATACCTCCAGGCAGGGACCTAGGTATATTGTCGATGAAAGAGGAAAAGGAAACTGGTAAATCATAGTAAGATATTATCCTTAGTCCTTAAGAATAAGTCAAGTTTCCTCTTAAAAGGCTCCTGAGATGTCGCTTGAACTATCTCAGCCGATAGCAAATTACAGCATCTGACTACTCTTAAAGAGTAGAAGTTGTGTCTACAGTCTGTTCTGCTATGTCGGGTCTCCAGTTTCTGGGTGTTACCTCTTAGGTTAGTGTTGTGACTAGGCTTAAAAAAATGTTTAAGGGGATGACCAGAAGTGTTAAGGATGCTGAAAGCCATTAGAAGGTCACCTCTAAGACGCCTGTACTCCAATGGGTAAAGGCTCAGTGATTAAATGCGCTCTTCATAAGGCTTGGATTTAAGTCCCCCAACTGATTTCCTTTCGGAGTGAGGTGGAAGTACTATGTTTCCGTACCCTAATTGGGGACGAATAAAACTGTTGAATATTAAGTGGAAAGTTCTTCCGTCAAACTGGCTCAAAATGCGCTTCAGTGTTACCAGTGCAAGATTTGCTCGAAAGGCATTTTTGTCACAACGTAAGACTTCAAATCGTAGGGAGCCAGCACTTCTAAATCTTTTTCAACTACGGATACTTGTAGAGAGAAGTTTCCTAAGTTTTAACTATAGTCTGCAACATGTCTCAGATGGACTACTTTTCACTTTGAAGTGTTGAAGGTAAGTCCGTTGTCGTCTGCCCAACTTTGAAGTCGGATCAGATCCTCCTGAAGTACTAGTATATCCATACGGTAACGTATCTCTCTCCAAAGTTTCGCATCATCAGCAAAAAGTAATAAGTCAGATGAGACTTGTTGTGGAAGATCGTTTAT